TCCTTTTGAATTCTCCTATCCACTATCCCTTAACCCCGTGACGTTTCACTCAGAGGTCAAGGAATAGACGATAGGGTTAGACGTTAGGAGCTGATTTTTGGATTATCCGACCGCAACCTTTGTCTTTTAGTTTGCACGTATACGAATACAAATGGCACTTTTTCCCCTTTCCTACTGCCATACTTCTGTAGCTTTGACCACAACAATCTTCAAACTCTGCCTTTATTTCAATCTCAACTACAGACCTGTAACGTTCTTTTTAAAGCATCTTGCAATTGTATATGCACTAGGGATGGGTGACGAGACGCGTTATTACATTGGTAAGGGTCCCCTGATTGGTCAGTGTCAAACATGTGATTAGTTGCTGGAGTAACAGTGCTACTATCAAAGCCAAGTCAAAGTCAACATGTTACATTTTTAAAACCTGTTGAATGATTAATTGATTGTTTTGGGGAGTTGGCTAAAAATACAGAAGAGATCCCAAATCGAAATGTTTATTTTTGTTGTCCATTATTTGTCACTTATCAAGGACTGAGTTATACAGCTATTTCTGCAAAATGTGTCGGTCACAACCTCAAAAGTCAACTTAAACAATGACAGCAGTCACAAGTGAGACGAGAGGATGGAGATTGTGATCATCACAGTCACTTGTTTCGAGGGACCACGTTTGTTAATGGTCACCTATACAGTATGCAAAACCCACTTCTTCATGTCTCTTCTACATCAACATGTGTCCCCTCTGTGGAAAGAGACTCTGAAAGGTTCAGGAACAAAGATTCTCTCTCTTTTTGTCCTGACCATTTATATAAAAACCTGTCTGAAAATGAGCTGATTAGATTTTGGCCACTTTATGATGTCATAACGATGTCTTGTCTTGTGTAACCATTAGCCAATCAGCAACCAAGGTAACCCCCCCCTTATCACCTGAATCTCCTCCTAGAGCACCATTGAGTTCTTTGTAACCAAATATCTCTCAGAGGGGCGTGGGGAGGGGCTCCTTATTTTCATCGAAAGTAACAGACAGAGAATCAGCACTTTTGAAACAGGGCTGAAACAGAGGGGATTATGGGTAATGCTGCAATGATCTGTTTGGTGTTTGGAGCCAAACACTTCAGAGACATGTTTTGTATTTATCTGAGACCTATAATATATTGATGAAAAACAGTATAATAGGAGACCTTTAAAGTGCATCAGGAATCTTCCCCTGTGAGGAATGTTATCCACTCACAAACACTGATATGTGCGCCTATATATCATGTGCAGGACTGTTTTTATATGCAGGTTTTCAGACAAATTAAACGCCATCAGCCCCACCCAGTGATGGTGCTCTGCGGGAGCTCAGCCACAGAGGGATTGCATTACCTCCATGTGTTATCCACAGAGAGAGTGATGGAGCACATAGTGCCATCTGTGCTGCCTTTCATTTGCATTCCCAACAACTGCCTGGTCTCTCCACTCACTTGTTTCATCTTCTTTGTCTTTATTTTTAACCAAGTAAGCAAATCTTCCATTTATGAGTTTAAATGTTTCAGTCCTCTGTTTTTGTAGAAAATAAATCCTGTTGGGGGATTTTTGGAAACAAAAACTCTGTGGTGCATAGGTGCAGTTCTCCATTTAGGACACTATTTGATCTATTGAAGCAAAGTTGTGTGTCAGTGAGTCAATGAAATGTTTTCTCATAGACCAGTGACGTTATTGTAACAAAGTAAAGCTTCATCGTTAAAAAATAAGCCTGCCAAAAAGATTCTGCAGTGTTTTCTTCAGGCTTGTTTACTGCAGGCAGCTCTACTTCGTCTGCCGTCTCACACGAAGCTGCAGATCGTAGATGTGGGTTCACTGCCAACACACCATTTGGTCTTTGAGTGGGCCGGAGTTGGTGTGTGTGTGCGCCCATCTGGAAATGCGAGGTACCAAGAGACAAACACACAGATCCCTTCACAGATGTTTGCATAATTAAAACGGCACCTATACTCTCAGAGATACCACCTCCTCTATGTTTTATCACTTCTACATTAGAAAAAATACATGAAAAGGTAAACATTATTGCCTGTAAACAAGCTTTTGGCCTTACAAGTGATGTCTAAAAACTACCATATGTTAAAGGTTTAGTGCTTTTTGGTTTGAAAACCAAGGTCAACCATGGACATCGAGCACTTACTGGGACCACATTGGCAAGGTAGGAGGAGGGGGCTGCACCTACACACACATTTTCTGATTTGACGTCACCACCAACAGTTTGCCGATAGCTAGAAAATGTTTGCTTTCTGCTCCGTAACACAATTAAGAGGCAATTAATGTAACAGAACAGGGGCAAAGTCCCACCTGTTGGCAGCAAATAGTTAATTTATAGCATTCTAGATTAATGTTTGAAGTGAAAAAAAATGCTGCTCTGAACCATCATTGGTATACCATTTAAGGTCAGTGGCTGGATAGAATAGTTTTAAAATAATGCATCAGCTAACAAAGTTATAGAACGAGTTATTCAAAGAAGAAATGTTAGCTTTGTGTGTCTAGAGGAAAAGTTAGGCGTTCTACAAAGATTCATCATCTAGGAACCATTAATGTCGGAAACGTGTGTGATCTGAGGTGCTCACAGACACATTATCTAAAAGCAGAATTATTTCACATTAAACTTAAATACCTCTTCTCATGTTAAATGGGGGGAAGAAACTAATGGTATTTTTAGGGGCTTTGATGGGGTCATTAGCAGTTAGTGGATGTCAGTATTAGCTGGTAATATAAATGGCCTCATTGTATGACATGCCAGTCCAAATAGCTCTTAATGTGGCCCTGATTAGCCCGAGTCAAGGACAGACAAACTTCATGCAATTTGTCCGGATAGGATCCGTTCATACATATTTTATAAGTATGAACTGATATTTATTATTCATAGCTTTCAGATAGATGAGTTCAATTGGTCTCACTCTCAGTCCACGACGCACTTGGAGTGCCGGCCTTTGAACGGACATTTTCCTGTCCTTGAGGTAAAAAGTTAGAAGTTTCTCAACATGAGAATCAAGACGCCCAGTGGGGTGTCGAGAGAAGCAGACATTATTATTAGAATCTTTTCAACTGGTTTTGATATACGTTATGTTCAAGCAGCAACAACGGTTAGCTTGGAATATAAAGCCTCGAGGAAATGGAAAACGCATATCCTACCAGTGGAGGTGCTAATAGAGGACAAACTTTAAGTGCTCTTTATATGTGCACAGATCTAAAGGGTTTTAGAATGTCTAAGATCCTGACAATTGAGTAATGGGTCAGTGTATGTAATACTAGCCACTGGAGTGCAGACAGGTTGATTGAATATTTATACTGGACAAAGACAGTGATGTCCACTTTTGATTTGTACTCTGCATATCCAGGCCTCCTTTTGGAGACGAGACATTTTAAGACGGCCAATAGTTAACAATGACCTTTCATGAATTGAAAACAGACATATTCTAAATTCCAAGACAAAAACATGGAACATAATTAAACCAGAAAACACTGATAGCAATGTTTCAATCACAATGTAGCCAGGCCCTTAAACAAACCCATTTTTTACTCTAAAAAGGGAAAATGTTGTACTAAATTAACTCAATGCTCCTGTTGAAGAAGACTTCAAACAAGCAATTGAACTTGCTCTGCCCTCACTGTTTAACCTGAATCAATTCCTCAACATAGGGACAGGTGTATCATCTTCTTTATTGAAATGTCAACCTAGTAAACTTTGTTTGGATGTTAGACTTATGAGTCACATTCCTACATACAAATATATGTATGCAGTATCTAAATATGCATGAAGCCCATACAAATACGTGATTAATAAGTGATTAATAAAGAACAAAAGAAAATGGGTAATTTACATAATTTGCATTTATTCTAATGTTAATTCTTATAAAGAAGATGTAAATTCTAAAGTTACATACAAACACACTGCAGCAATACGTTGAGCATTAAACAAAATGTCATTTCAATAAGGTTCAAATCTTGAAAGATAGTCATCCAGAACTTCTACGCAACATCTAAATGACTACAAATACTCACAAGCAAGACTTTCCATCAAACAACGGAAGAGGATGGCGGTCATTTTAAGTAAGAACTCTGGCGTTAATTGAACAGGTGAGTTTACTTCCTGTTTACTGACAACCTGAAGCGTTCCTATTGGCTATTGCCACAAAGCAGAAACAAACAGAAAAAATAACAGCACCGCCTTCTGGTGAGAATATGAAAGAATCTCTGCCAGCACAGAGACCAAAAACTCATTAGGAAAATGTTTACTGAAGTAAAAAATCAAGTGAGGAGTAGGGTCATTTTATTATAGACTTCTATACAAACAGATTTCTTTTGTAACCAATGGAGTCGTTCCTGCTGGCCAATACAAATGATGCAGGTTTTAAGCCACTTCCTCATTTCCCCTTTTATGCTTGATTACATTATAAGTGACAAAATAAGAAATACTCTGTTTTGATATTATTTGTCTAAACACACATACGCCCTAGTTATTCGATAATGTTTCCTGATCATTCCAACCAGGACTGCCAAACAGCCGTGCCAAAACAAAATGTGGGACAGTGCCAATCACAGAAATGTGGGGTGTTATTTCGGGGCCAGGGGACAGCAGGATGAATGCCAAAGTGACTCCAGTCTAAAATGCAAATTACTTGTTGGCTGTTACCATGGTGTGACTTCAGTTTTGGAGCATCACCTGCAACCACCTCTCTGGAGGGCCACTGTTCTGAAGGGCTTAGCATCTTAAACCCTCTAATTAAAACTCCCTCCACCAGGCTACATTGCACCCTCCTCATCCAAAAAGCAGATTATTGAGATTTTAATGGAGGAAATTGTACGTCCCACACCATCTGTGACTCGGGACTGGAGACAGAAGGAGAGAATGGAGTGTGTTTTTTCATACATGCATGTGAATCTGTGCTCTCCACAGAGAGACACATGCAGACAAAGACTCATAGAGGGGACTGTACAAAATATTCAAAAGTAGGTTGAAATTAAAAAAAACATTTCCTTTGAATGTACATTTATTTGATGCTTACAAAAAGATCAACCACAAATGCACAGAGCGGGATTTATTTCATAGAACGTGTTATTTGGTTTGACTATTCAAGCTGGCACCTTGCAGCTAATGTTAGTGAGATATTTAAGGTGTGAAGATGAAGTACTGGCAAGTGTGAAAAATAACTACGGTGGCTTGACACACACTCTCAGCACATAATCAACCATTGTCGGATACAGTCGGGTACTTCACTGATTTGGTTTTAATATATTAAACAAATGTGTGTTATAATTGCAGACATGATTTAACCCCAAATATAATATATATTTTTAAGAACAAAGAGTACCAGAGTTGGAATAGATGCAGCAGGTTTTGATAGGATGTTCTTATCATGCCACATAAAGGCAGGTTATCATTCAGTAAATCTGACGATGAATTAAAAAAAAATCCCCAAATCTGGAAATTTATGTTGGACGGTGAACATTTGTAAACATGTATTTCTCATAGCCTTGTTGGATGTTCATTTATACAAATGAATGAACCTTTTCATTTTTTTGTTGCTATATTCAGAGCAGGGTTATGTTACAAATGTGTTTTTTTTTATCTGCAAAAAAATCAGCCTGCAAGCCAAAACACTGCGAGTGCTGCTACATTTATATTTATATATGCACACACAAATATTCAAGATGTCAACTTCTCTCCTGATTTATAGGATCAACATGATAAATACAATCTCTAATAGGCCTTATAAGTTCTTCAAACAGCACCAATACCTCATAACAACTGGTTGATGCTTCAAAAATCTAAGAACAACATGCATAAATTAAGAATATCTCATATACTTTCATCATTGGTTTTAACTTGTGTTTTATTTGTTGTATAAAACAAAGTTGAATAAAGCAAAGTGCACCAGAACAGTTCATCCACAACAATCGACTTAATATCTGACATCAATTTGCCAATAAAACGCCAATATTACTGACAAACACGTTTTCATTAGTCCTGTCATTGATCCCAATTAAGGCAAGACTCATCCATTTTAAAAAAGAATAAGAGAGAAACAGCTGCCACACCCACTGAGGGCCAAATAAATCACCATGATATCACATCACATGTCAACAGCACATTCTTATGTCGGCCTAGCTAGAGCAAAAAACAAACTTCTACATTTAATTCCTAGGTAATTATTTTTGTTATTCTGCTTTATTTAGTCGTAGAGGAATCTCTGAAATATGGCAAGGCCTGAGTGTAATGCGACATTATTACCACCAATATCTAACTCAATGGGCCTAATGGCTGCACATTCCACAACACGCCTACATACAGTGGGAATAACTCCAGCTTCCCACTTACACACATATAATTCGTTATTTACACCCTATTTCCAATACAAGTTTCACACAGGAAAACAACATTGATTATCATATTAAATTAATAAATAATGAGAAATGCAGATTGCATAGGTCCCTGTGCCTTACTTTGTGTTATTACGCTGTGGTTCGTTTTTAGTAAAGATTAAACCACCAAACAAACCACAAATTAATGTTGGCAAATGTGTGTGTGTGTGTGTGGGGGGGGGGGGGGGGGGGGGGGGGGGGGGGTGTGAGTGTGTGTCTGCCACAGCTATCCCCAGACAACGAACATTTAATTAGATTAAATAAGATTAATTGACTATTGTTCAACAGGAGGCAGCAACAATAGGCACGCCCCCCAACAATATCATTTCTAAATGTTTTTATTCAACATCTCTATCGTTATTAATTATGGAAAGGTTTATTTAAGTCCTCCTGCACCTGGTAAAACTGGCTCCGGAGGTGGATGTCATACGGGTCCGCGGAGGAGCCCTGGCCGACGGAGCAGTACCGGAGGCCGTAGTGGCAGCTCCGGTAGTCCCCGGGCTCCTCGTGTTTCAGGGAGAAGATCCCGTTGAAGTTCATAGGAGGGCTGAGTACCCCTGCATCGGGGGGGCTGTCCGGAGAGGGGCTGTCATACAGGGCAGGGCCGCAGAAAGAGCCGAAGGACCGGGGAGGCCTATCCGCCGAGCCGGAGCCCACCGCCTCAGGCCCGCGGGGGTGGTTATAGGACCCCGGGTACAAGGGGAAAGCCTCCCCGTCGGGCTCCGAGACGAAGCTGCGGGCGTTCAGCTGCAGGCAGCCGGCCACCAGGTTAGTGGTGGGCTGGGAGAGACCCTTGCACAGAGTCTGCACGAAGGTGAGTAGGTCCGGCCTTTTCCCAATGCTCAGAGTCTCACTCAGGGCCCAATGTAGTTCTTAGCAAGGCGGAGTGTATCTATTTTGGAGAGTTTCTGCGTGTTGGAGTAGCACGGAACTACTTTCCTCAGTATGTCCAGCTCGCTGTTCAGGCTGTGCATGCGGTTTCTTTCCCGCGTATTTGCTTCAATGCGCCGCAGTCGGACCCGGTCCATTCGTGCCTGGCTAAACTTTTTCTTATGAGACCCCCTTCTCCTCACACCTTGTTCCTGTTCGTCCTCCTCGCCACCGTGCCTCTCGTCCTCCTCTCCCCGGGACTCTAACGTGTCCTCCAGGGCTCTGCAGGGCTCTGCTTTAACACATTTGACATTTAATTGGTTGGTGGCCCAGCTGTTCCTGAAGGGGCTGCTGGTCTGGGTGGAGGGGGGCTCATCGAAAGTCAGCATGATCTCCTGCAGCACGTGAGTAAAATGTATATTACACATACAATTAAACTGTAGGCTACTGAATCCGGAAATATGAACATTTGCAGACATAATAAGCTTGCTAAACTGCATCATGTAGCCTATCTTGAAGAACTAACAAATAAACTACCATTATTCTTATTATATAAGCAATACAGGTTATTAGTTGTTACTGTTGAAGTAGAAATCAGAGAAACTGTTTCACCAGCTTGAATATAGAAACATGTCATAGCATATTACAATAACATACCATATTATTATCAACAAAAAACTGCAAAGATCCACGACAAGAAAACAGGTTAAAAAATAAGAATTGTCATGCAGCTATACCAAGCATAATGAGCCCCTGTCTTTTTAATAGTAGCCTATTATTTATCCTAATAAGGCAAGTCAACTTCCTGCAAAATAAACCTACTAAATCTTAAATGTATTGACTTCCTGTCCGAGGATATGGACGAGTTTCTCACCCAGCTTTGGTGTTAGATTCCAGAGAGCATCTTCCTGAAGCTTCCAGAAGCTTAGACAGGCTTTCAGCAGCAGATATCAGTCCTCCTCTCCTCTCCTCTCCCTCTCTTCTTCTTCTTCCAGCAGTAAAGACACTGATGCCATCTGCTGCTGACGTCACGGGCAGGTTAGCTCTCTCTCTCTCTCTCTATCTCCTCTATTCCTCTCTCTCCTCTCATCTCTCCTATCTCTCGATCTCTCTCTCTCTCTCTCTCTCTCTCTCTCTCTCTCTCTCTCTCTGTGTGACGCTATGTCTCTCACCCTCCTATGTTTGTATCTCTCTATCCCCAAAATGCCTCTCTCCCAGTGTTCCCAGTCTGACTGCAGTGCGGGGATTCGGTGCCAGTCTTACTCCCCAGGGACAGATTTGAGTTTCAAAATGAAAGTCTGAGCACACTGAGTCACATGATCTTGTGAAGTGATGATACTCGGGATCTGTTCACACTAGATTATTCTCATTTCATTAACTCACTGTGCTGTCAACATGCACACTCCGGCATTATTCAGGCACAGCAAGAGGGTTCCTCAAAAGAAAGAAGTCCAGACAGCCATATTATTGTCTAAAAGACTGTATTTCTATTATTATCTTTTTCACATTTGGACGTTATTCAGGAAAAAGACTAAGTCATTAAAGAAAGCACTCCAGACAGCCAAATTATTGTTAAATTGTTGATAAAACTGAATTTTAAATTATTATTTTTGTTTTTTCTGCAGCAATGGCACCCATCTAGTTCTTTCAATATGCTTGCATCACATGCAATGTCATAGTAAAGCACTTAGTGTAGCATTGTATTTTAATTTGAATTGTATTATCTGTCCACAAAACCAGCCTAACTTCTATTTGATACATACCTTCCACATCCATTCCTGATGTGCCCCCCCCCCCCCCATGAAGCCTCAGCTGGCGCGGGTCTTTCTGGTCCAGTACACACACCAACATCTGATGAGTCGAACTCTTCCATCTCAAACTAATTACTTCACGGCAGTAATTGCAAATGCAAATATGCAAATTCATATTAATTAATTACTCTGTTAATTAGCTATGTGGCCATTTGGGAACAATAAATCATTGTGCGGCAGATAGGAGACAAAGAGGAGGCATCGTCCCATTTTGACGTAAAAAATGTCGCATGCGCACATGCCGGCATATCCTAAAATAGCGGGTGGAAAAAAAGACCCCTGACTCGCTGTTAAAGAATGCTTGCAGTCCTGAGTGACTTCATTATCACATTCCCTGCTCCTAAACACAAAGTGATGGGATGCCAGTCTGTAAATGAGGATCGGAGCGTTCACACCCTGTGGCTGGAATTACACTTTCTGGTGTAAGTGGGGTGTTTTAGTGAAACTAAATGAAATGATAATTAAGTGAATCCTTCATTTCTGAAGCATCTGAGGCTCTAATATACTACTTTAATGTGAAATACAAGTTACAGCACGTGTGATTCAATTTCTAAGTATAAGACTTTTAAAATAAATGTGTAATTTGGAGCCTATATAGTGTTGTTTTCATAACCCTACGAAACGCTTGTACTTATTGATTGGCTGTGTAAAGCTATGAGCCACGATGGAGTCAGGGTAAGTCCTGCAATCTTATACCAGCTCCGAGGCCAATGTAATTGTGTAGATTTGAATCCCCCCCACTTAACACCAGCCATTTTAACGGGAGGCCCATTTGGAACTGAAGCTTTGGATAGATTCATGCTCTTCAGATACAAATGCAACAACCGCTCAACCAGCACCGACGACATGTTGACGATAATTAGTGTATAAAGAGCATTGCAATCACCTCTGACACACACACACACACACACACACACACACACACACACACACACACACACACACACACACACACACACACACACACACCACACACACACACACACACACACACACACACACACACACACACACACACACACACACACACACACACACACACACACTCCATCATTTAGCTTTTCTTTTTTTATGTCTTTGCATGAAGCACTATGTAGACTTCTCTGTTGTGTACTTAAGCCAAGTAATTAAACATGCTCTATCTCCACCTTCCAGCGGGATGATGATTCTTTTATTAAAAGTCGTGTTTTATAATGAAGCGGCTTAATGATCTGTGTCACACTGAGGAGCGTGTGTGTGGGGAGAGCTCAGCATGGCAGTGCCACAGCTTGCTTTTACAGTAATGGCTAACCCTATGCCAACATTGAGTGCCAATGCAGGAAGTATACTGCTTTAGTGAGTGTCACTGACGTCACGAGACAACCAGCCCCTTATTCTTTAGTGATCTTCAGGGGAGGCAAAGTAACATCTTCAAAAAAAAGGGAAGTCTGTCCACACAATTCAACATACACTAAATGGTTGACCGTGGTGTCGAATAAAGAGCTTTAAAATGCAAACCCACTGATATCATAATGCCTAACCAAATCCTGAATGCATCCTGAACCACATTTTAATCATCAAATCATTTTTCAAACAAACAGCCACACATGTAACGACCACATGGCGTCCACAGTGTTCTCCGAGTGGTGCTTTGTTGCGATTGGTTGGCCACTGGCACGATCGTCCTGAGCCACAGATGATCCAAAAGGCCCATCTGGCAGCCCGCTCAGGGTGCTGATTAGTCATGGACTGGGCCCCCTGCACTCTGCCCACTCCCCTACTGACTCCCTTGGGTGCCATGCCACCCACAAACAAGCTGTGCATATGGCCGCCTCCTCTCAGAAGCCTCCGGCCCCAGTGTGTAGCAGAGATGAAGTTCAGCAATTTCATGAAAAATGTGCGTTTTTTTATTCTGAGAAATTAAATGACAAGTGCATTGCAGACTTTTTTACGTTCAGGTGTGGCTTTTAATACTTGTGTAATTCAGCCAATTACACAAGACAGGAGCACCACAGAGGAGTAACACAGTAACACCTGTATCTATGTAAAATATATTACTGTGCAGCTTGGGACATTTCCCTATTCCTACAGTCTTATCTTAACGAGTCTTTTAAAGTAATCTTAACATACGAAGGTAGTTTATTTAATGACAGTTTGGGCTGATGAATACACTTTATATTTGTGTTGACATTAGTACAATTGCTTAGTTTTATCTCAGCACTTTGTTTTTGAGTTACAGACACTTTGTTTAGGATTTGAAAGGTTTTGTCGCCTCCTGGTGGTAGAAACAAATAGGACGGAGGTCGCACACAATGACTGCTTTCACATACATAAACACACACACACACACACTGGCTTCTCTTTTGTTCTGCTCATTTATTTATTTTCTTCTTCTTAGTACACACAGTTTAGCTATTAAAAGAGGAACCATTTGCATTTTAAAGGCAGCCTATCAGCTCAGAGGCCTGAACAGTCATACAAAGTGTTGCTGATAGCAGACCTAAAACTCCAATCTTTTCATATGCTTCAAACTCCAAAGTCTAAATGTTTGCATCAATCAATCCATTTTGCGAAGCTGTTTTATATCAGGAAGGTCAGAAATACTAGTGACAGTAAGCATACCTGCGTGACATCATAAAACCACAACGTTTGCATAATATTATAAATATACACGCCAAACAAATGCTCTTGTTAGGGCTGGGCAGAAAGGGTGTCATTGGGGCGGGAAAAAAGCAGTATGCAAATAACAAACACTGACAAGAGAAACAATGACACCTTTAAAAAAACATGACAAACTTGTGTGACTACTGAAGTACTAACATGAAGAGTATTGTTTCCTCCTCTGGCCACAGGCAGGCAGAAGCAGATAAAAGTGGAGCAGGAAGGCATCAACAAGTCAGCCAGGATGTAATATTTCCTTGTAGGGCTGAGAAGTCTGACCAACTCATTTGCATGTCCCTCCTTTGCTCCGGCATGTTTACCATGCGGGACAGGAGCTGAATGAGAGCTGCATTTCTCTGCCTGGGAGTTCAGCTCTGCATCTCCACAAAGCCTCCTCTCTGCTGGGAACAACTCCACTGCTGCTGCTGCTGCTGCTCGGGACTATGTGAAACCAGGAGATATACCTCCATTTCCACAGGTGTCCATGCTTCTCTGGTGTGTTTTTGTGCACCTTCTGCTTATTATTTGAGGAGCTGTTGATACTTCCATGGCGTCTGAAGGAGCTCTGGCCAAGAGGAGCAACCTGGCTGCTTCCAGAGTCCACTGGAGCAACATTGACCTCCCTGAGTTCACCCCGGACCAGGACCAGGACCATCACGGTACGGACGCCATACAAATATTCTTTGTGAGCCAACAAAACCAGGTCGCAGGTTTAACCTTATTTACAACAAATAAAGTAAAGTTAACCTAAAAGAAAAGTTAGTTTTAATCATTTTCAAAATTGTGCTTTTATACATATTTTTTTGAATTGAACCCATGAAACTCTGAACTTTGTTTGAGTTAACAACAGTGAACATCAGGTTTTCTATTATTGTTGCACAGTGACACAATGTGTTGAGTGTGCAATATGGATAATACTGGGATGGATTCCAAAATTAAGACAGAGACATAGAAAATGGATAATTTAGAGAAAATTGGGTAAGACATCAAAAGCTCGAGCTGATTATATATATGGTTCTCTGAAATCCAGTGATTTTAATAAAAGCATTAAATGAAGAATTATGGCAAGGATCTAGAAATTGACCAAAATGAGCTCCAGTTAATAATCATATATTGAATTGATGCACTACTTTAACAACACTCATAGCCATGTCACATAAAGGACAACCACTATAGACTCCTTTTATCAGTAAATAGTTATTTACAGACTTTCAATTGTTTTACTTATTTACCAATGTACTGCCTGAGCAGCTCTGAGGCTATCCGTACAACTAGGGCTGCTCAATTAATCGTATTTTAATTACGATTATGGCTTGCAACGATTACGAAAACAACGTAATCGAAATAAAACGATTTTTAAAAATTATTATTATTTATTTATTGGTTTTTCAGTTGAATTATACTTAAAGTTCAGGGTAATCAAAAAACATACTGTTCACATTTTCTTTCTCCAATAAATGGATGTTTTCAAAGTCAATGAATAATCGCATTTAATAATTGCAATTACAATTATTGACCCAAATAATCGAGATTATGATTTTTGCCATAATCGAGCAGCCCTACGTACAACATGAGAGTCTGTGGGATGAGATATTGTTGTTCAGTAGCCGCTCTCACTGCAGACTTCCTACTTCTGGCTCTTTATGTGTTTGCTATCAGTGGTTACTTCACTGGCATTATTATAATGTGTTGCATCATGTCAACCGCAGGAAATTCGAGCCAGGACAGTGTCAGGAAATGGCTCACCACCACAGAGTGAGTATTAACATGGGACTATAGGCTGTAGTAATGTTCATTCTCCAATTGAATCATCTCTTCTGAACTGTGGAATACGCTTTTCCATTGGTTGCTTCTTCAGTTTCTGCTATGTGCTGTATTTGAAATATATACATATTTGGGTGGTACATTCCAGGAGCCAAATCATATGTTTATAAAGTACACTGCACACAATTATCATAATGTATTGCCCTCATAACGTGTGCGTATGTGTGTGTGATCTCAAGTGGTGGAAAGTAACAACGTTTAACTTAAGTACCAAACTTAAGTGCCATTTTGACACCTGTGTACTTCACTTGAGTATTTCAATTGTTTGCTACTTTATACCTCTGCTCCACACCATTTTAGAGGCAATTCTTTTTACTCTTCCACATTTATTTACCACTCCTAGTTACTAGTTACATTTGATATGATTATATGACATAATATCATATACTGTAAGAGTACTGTAATTCAATCGAAATACAAACCAGTATTTTAAAAAGTATATACAATTGGCTCCACAGTGTCAAACTGCAACAGTAAAATGCTCTTACATGTATTTGTTGGTGATAAAAACAGGATTATATCATATTTTATGATAATTGAATACTGTGAAAAGAGCCAGTCTTCATAGTGAGCAACTTTACTTTTCATACTTTGAAAACATTTAGCTTATAATACTTCTGTATATTTACTTAACCCTCCTATTGTCTTCGTTTCCCCCATTACTTTGGTGTTCGCGGTCAAATTTGACCGGTCCTGTTTTAACTGCTATTACATTAACACAAAAACCATTAATCATCACCAAATGTAATTTAACACCCTTTCAAACTGTACATATTGTATCAGACTACTGGTACACATGAAACACTGCAGTAAATATACAAAGAACAGACACTGAACATGTATTGCGTGTGCCAGGTGTGATCCATGTGGGGGGATGGGCACATAAGAGGGGGGGAACACATCTAGAGTGTGTGTGTGTGTGTGTGTGTGTGTGTGTGTGTGTGTGTGTGTGTGTGTGTGTGTGTGTGTGTGTGTGTGTGTGTGTGTGTTTTGTCTGATCCGGATGGTTACTAATTCCTTTTCTTTTTGACCGGGAACACCATGGGTGTTACAAAGTTGACTAAATCATCCAAAATGCAATGAAAGTGGTGATCAGCAATTGTATATGTTCTAATGTCTACTGTGAAGGATATCATAAAGCCTTCATGCAATCGAATGTAAAACAAAAAAGTTATGATGAAAGTAGTAAATCAGTCAGATTTGACCCGAAGGCAACAGGAGGTGTAACATTTTGAATTCAGGACTTTTACTTGTATTTCAAGGAGTGTTTTAAGACCATAGTATTTCTACCTTTACTTGAGTAATCTGAGTGCTTCTTCCAACCCCGTGCTTTCTCAAACCTTGTCCCTCCTTCTAATAAAACGTGACCTGTGTTTGCAGGGAAGATGCAAAGCATGAGCCACTGCAGGAAGCTGCAGGTAAGACCAATGGAAATCCCTTTCTGCTTTCACAACAGGGAGGCGTCTGTCATCTTTATTCTGTGTCAACTTTATATCGTCTTCTTCCCTGTGTGATTCAGCGGCACATGATGGTGAGTACATGTTTGCTTGGTTCGGATCACTTCTGTAGTAGTTTTAGTGAGTGCAGTGTGATGAGGTTAATCTTTAAGTGATGACTGGCTGGCTAAAAGTGGTATTATGTCACACGAGGCATTAGCGGGTGTGAGACAACGCAGACGAACAGTAGCTGACGTGCGGTATACAGCAGCTGTGCAGCAACAGATACATAACACTGGTTAATAGGATAAGTTCCTGCTGCTTGAGTGTTAGAAATTATAATAGTTCTCCTTTTTAATCACATTTGTAATGCTCTTTTAAAAATGGTATTGTGTTAATACCCTCCTATCAGTTACTTTATTTGGTAAGGAGTGTCTTACACTTCTCCTTTCCATAATGGTCCATTTAAAATGTTCTTAATAATGACAATTCTGTGGTTGTGAAATCAAAGGCCTCACTTTAATGAATGTACACAGTGTGGATTACCTAACTACACTCCCTCCCCACCGGCCCCGAGGCCAGCCCATTCAAACAGCATGCAAATGGTGGTTGAGAAAACCATGGGAACGGCATATTGCTCCTCATGCGCCTGCTGCCCCCCCCCCCCCCCCCTCTCTCTCTCCGTCACCTTCAAGAAAAGCAGCGCTGCCTTGCTGTTGTTACTCAGGAGAACTCTGTCCACTGTATTGGGGCTCTTGGAGGTCTCAAAAGCTCTGGGATTGGGATGTTAAAGATCCCATGTCATGGCCATTTCTACTGATCATATTTCCATTGTTGAGGTCTACTAAAATAGATTTAAATTGTTCTCATAACTCACATCTGTATAGTATGTGTCCTTACAGCTCTGTCCTAGTACGCTTGTATTGGAGCTCCTGCCCCCCCCCCCCCCCCCCCTCCCTGTAAGCCCAGTGTGCTCTGATTGGTCAGGACGTTCGGTCGGTGATACAGCGAGAACAAGCGAAACTCATCCTGAGCACACACAAACACTCACAGCCGGAAAAAAACAATAAGTGTGGCTTGATATTGAGTAAGAAAAAGGTTTATAACGCTGTGAGAATGGGTCTGCGGAGAGCATTTCTCCGCCATCCCAACTCGTCTATTACCAGCGTTCAGGGAGCTCTATGCAAGTCAATGCGACTCCCTGTTAGTTAGCCAAGGGGTCCTGGTGTGTGAGGTGCTCCGCGGATTGGTCCATTTGGGCCAATCCGGTTATTTGTTGTTGATTTGGGTATTCACACGTCACAGAACCCAGGAAGTAAACAATGGAAAATGAGAAATCTCCAACGAGGCGTTCTGGGGCAGCACAGACGGGTATTTTCTGTGTTAGAGTTTTACTCGCTACAGGGTGTACTTTGAGGGTTTGTGACTCTGCAGACCGTTTACATGCAGAAAAAGCTTCATAACACAAGGGGACGGGTAATAACCGGAAAAGCATGACATGGGACCTTTAATTTAATCAGATCAACAGATATTTGATCATTAGTCAAAGTGGTTTCACTCAAAGCCACACACTAACCTCACGGTGGCAGTAGAGGCTCCAACAGAAATCCTTTTTGGACTGCTAAGAGCATAAATATAGTACTTTTTTAGCTGAAAAGCAGAAAACTGGGACCCAAACATTTTTTTCTCTCTACCCTTTCTGATAAATATTTGCTTTATGTCGAGGATTCCTTCCTTTGTTTTGTTCAAGCAGACTTTTAAACAGATGAGATTTCTAAAGTGTTGTCTTCTTTTATGTATTGGTTTCAGTTGTGATGGTTTGTTTGGCTTCTGATGATCTTATGTGACTCTTGGTTAATTAAAACTAAATATTTCCAGAGAATTAACAAAGAAAATAGCGCTCTACAATAGTCAAAACTCAGGTGAAATGATAAACAAACTAACATCGTCGTTCTTTAATATTATTTAACGGTTAAAAACTCTGCAGCTTCTTCCACCCGTATCTGCGTCTCTTAAAGGCTGGTGCCGTGGGAATTGTAGTCTTTCATGATCCCTTGACTACAGAGGTCATAAATAGATGACACTAATATTTGAACAAAAACGCCGTCTTTAAGACTATTGTTTATGTCAATGCATAGCAACTAAAAAGATATATCCAGTCCTAAGCAGAGGGATTATTCTCCTCATTTGTCGAGCCCATGCTGCTGAACCACAACAGAAGTTTTTCTTCCGTCATATGTCCTGTTTCTCATGTCCTCTGTGTCCTCTCTCTCCGGCAGAGCCTCTGAAGAGGAGCGCCAGCAGTGACGATGACCTGGCCTTGGGGCTAGAAGGTAAACAGCCTCCCGCTCTGGACTTGTAAGGTGACATCTTCAGCAGGGAATCTTTATAGGCACACACACTCAGCCGTTTAGGAAAGCAAGCCAAAGATTTATTTATGTGTGGATCCAACACCAACACACACAGAGGATAGCCAGAATCTCCTGTGTATTTACACTGAGGATGGTACTGTGGGTACACACAGGTCCAGACCTTTAAATGGATTGAATATTTTTCCTGAACTGTATATTGGACATTTAAGGGCAGGGCACACTAACTTCATTTGAGAAGTAGTATGGTTCATTATCCTCTTAAAATATGAAGCTGCCGGCTACGAGATTAAAAACATTACATGGAGAGGCAGCGTTTAGCTATTATGCCCCGACAATCTGGAACAAACTACCCAAATCATGCACGTCTGCAGAAACTCGTACTATTTTTAAATCGAGACTGAAAACATACTGCATCTCTTTGCCGCTGCTTTTAATTGAGCTGCTCATATTCGCACTACAGTATGCCATTTAAACATGTATTGTATACCTGTTGTGTTTATTTTATTATCTTTGCTTTTTAATGCCGGTTGTAAAATGCCATTATATAATGTGTTTTTACTGTATTTATTCCTAAAAAGTACTCAAGCAAGCACTTTGAATTGTCGCGTGCTGAAAAGTGCTATATAAATAAACTTGCCTTGCCTTACATAAAACAAATGTCAATCACTTTCGAGATAATTGCTGATGCTTTTGCATGCATGGTGTATTGTAGCAGATGCAAGAAATGAGCTGGAGACGATACACGTATTTCAATTCAAATTATTAACACTAGAAGTACCTTTGCATCTGTGTCTGCACTTAAAAAACGTCAAAGCACACAATTTAAACCAGCTTTTTTCTGAGGACTGCATTCTTGTTTTTGATTTTATTTCACATCCCTCACTGAAAGTCCTGCAGGTTGTCAGTCAGAGTAGTTTTCTGACATGATGATGTGTGCATTAAAACAAAAGCTACGACACTGCAAAAAGAGACAGACTACTTGGTTCTTGACACCATGCCAGTGTCAAATGGATTCTGGGATAGAGAGGCGGAGGCAACTGCCAAAACCCAAACACCCAGTGGAGGAAAAGAGCAAAGATGGGGGGGGGGGAAGAAGAGAGAGAAACACTTTCCTAATATAGCTGAAGGAGCCCTGACACAGACCTGGACAGGATGTGCTGACTCTCAACCAGCTGAGAATCAAGGAGGCTGCCTTCTTGCTTTTACTGATGTTCCCTCTCTGTCATGTCCGGCCTCATGTGCCCCGTCTGTCCGGATGACATGACTTCTCTCTCCTGCAGCGTCTCTATATGGTAGCCGGGGGGCGAGGACGGTCCAGGAGTTTCTGTGGTAAGGACCCCTCTCTTCTTCATGTTGTTCTCATCTCCTGTCAGAAGTGCGTGCAGAGGGAGGCTGATCTCTATCACACTGCTGGAATCCATGCTAACACTGTTTGAAATGTAATCTATATTTACTTCTTTATTGTTGGTGAAAACACAGAGCTTCTTGGTTGATTTATATTCGAACAAAATAACTTTCTAAGTGACCAGCGCTGCAGCATTAGCTCATGTAAGCACATTCCCCATCTGTTCCCTCTTCTAAATACCACTGAAAGCTATCTGCGACACTTCCTACGAAGCCCAGCTCTATCACCCTATATATAACATTCCTTCATAACACAATAAAACGGTTAACACGCTGTAAAATCAAATACAAGTTTTGCTTATAGGGTCATGTTCAGTGTTTTGCGTAAAAGGCTAAAGCTAAATTGTTCATTTTTGGTTAAGTTTTTACTTCGACTATTGTAAAATGCTTTCAATGTTATTGATACGTTTTAAAGTTTACGTTTCTACTGTCCAGGGATTAAAAGGGTTGACAGGATGGAACATATTAAACACATTATGAAGATAAACACTTTACATAACTTCACTTAAAGCAGACAGGGCGCTTCATAAAAGCATTACATATAATCTGCACCATTATTGGTACACATCTGATAACCTTGTGCAAATAGGGAGAACACTTCAATAGCTGTTCCTGTAATGACTTAAAGATATGCGCTTTGTTTCGAGGAAGAGCTGTTTTTATAATCTATCTGATTACATAACTTTTTAGAATAAATAAATGCTCTTTGTTTGATTTGAACTCTTTGACTGACAGTTGTTGGTTCAGGCCGTGACAGCAGCTTCTGGAGCTGAACAGAAAGTTCGACAGATACCTACAAGTCATATTTACCAGGCAAATAAGCTGCACTGCCCACACAGGTTTGCATAGAAAGCAAACGCATCCGAGGAAAGTTATTACAATGCCTGACAGCTGAGCAGAAAATATGAATCAGCTGGAAGAGGGCAGAAGTATAAAAGATCAAGCAAAACATGTCACACAGGGTTATGATCGACACAGACCTGCAGCACAATGTGAGTACACACAGCTGATAGCCACTGCATGGCTGCTTTCTATTCTGTGATGTTTGGAAGAGCAGTATTCATTCAGACCTTACAAATTTGACCCACAGGGTGTTGATGGGAGGCTGCATTTTATTTTGAACTTTCCTATTATTAGCTATCATTTATCAGGCCAAGAAGCTACTACTTATGTTTACCTTGTGTTTGATATAAGCGGGGTTTTGTTACATGTGACACAGTTATAGTAAAACAAGAGGATTATAAATAATCTTACAGTATGATCTTATGAATGATTCCAGTGTCAAATGACAATGAGTGGTCGTAATGAGAAAACAAAAAAAAGCCATTAACGAATTGAACAACGACTTCTGTATATGCTATAATTGTAGACAAATCTCACGCAAAGTGCAAAACCAACAATGAATTAGTCCGTCTCTCAGTAGTTCTGAAAGTAAGTAATATCACAAATATTACATTTCAGCTGGTCGATAGTTTGACTGATCAATCATTACACAATAAGAGATGAATTCTGTATTCCCTCGACAGGGTATACAGTATATATAAATATTACATTTGTATGAAGAGCTAATTCATATTTTACAATTTGAAATATGGTGAAACCTTTCTTTGTTTTGTACTTCCTCAGGAGGAGCCGGTCAAGTCCTTTCCTCAGCCGGTGGAACAGCATCAACTCAACAATCTCAGCTCACTCCGGAGCACTCAGGTTGGTTGGTTGGTCACACACACACACACACACACACACACACACACACACACACACACACACACACACACACACACACACACACACACACACACACACACACACACACACACACACACTTTCAGCATCATTGGACAATCTGGCATGATGCAGAAAAAGGAGTCATTAGAGGCTTTGGTTATTTCCATATCTGGATCATTGCTGGTTATACAGCATGGATTTCTGTCAGGGCGAGATGCTAGGGGGGGGGGGGCGAGTCATGCATTTACCTTATATCCTGATTTCTGACACACATTCTGTCCTGATCATGGCTCCTTCTCCCTGTGGTCAGTGTGATGGACATCCTGAACCTGTGGAACGACGACCCGGAGGAGGTTCTGCTGGAGATGGGCTTTGGCTGCGACGAGCCTGACCTCTCCGGACGCATCCCGGCTCGATTCATCAACTACCAGTCTCAGGCCAAAGGGATAAACCTGCAGGTGTTTCTGGAGGCCCAGCAGAACCGGCTGGACCTGGAGAACCCAGACGTCAGCAGTAAGTCTGGATTTCAGCACCATGACCACCGGTACATGAATGTGAAGAATCATTCCTAACAAGTGATAACAAGATTTCCCTGTCTTCTCCCTCCAGATCGCTTCAGACAGCTCGAGGTTCTCCAGCAGGTGACCACAGCGTTCTCCTCCCTGGTGGGGCCTTCCTCCCCCCTCAGAGAACCCCTGGGGAAAGCTCTGACTCCTGAGGCCCGGGAGAAGAGGCGGCACGTGGGCATGCTGTTCAGGCGAGCATCAAAGAAGTCACTCAGCCAAATCCACAACCAGAAGTCTCAGGACCTAACCACACCGGCTGCTGATCCACCTGAAGCTATGCAACCTCCATCCAGCCTTGGAGACAAGAAATCTGTCTTAAAAAGAGCCAAACCTGGACTCCTGGAGACCGTGTTTCTGAGTCCTCTGGCAGAGGAACAAGGACCCGGTCCGGACCCAAATATGGCTGCTTTCACAGTCCAGGGGGGAACCCTCAGACACGGGCCCCTGACAGAAGGTCAACCCAGACCCCCAGCCAAAGTTTTACTGAGGAAGAGGAGCACAGGACCGGCCAGGGAATCATTTGAAATGGAAGAGGCAAGTTGAACTGCAACAGATCTCAAAGTGTATCAATTTCAACACCAGCAGGTCGTTTGTAGGTTTGCCTGTTGGATGTGAAGAGTTTCTTATTTTCTGACTACCCCGATTTTTTCTTTTACAATGATACATTTTGATTGACTTACAAAAGCTCATATTTACCCTATTTAAAAACGATATCTCAATCCATCTCCTTTTATGTATTTGCCTTCAACCTTCAAAGCATGATTTAAATGCTGATGGTTGGAAAAATCAGTATCTGTGTTTTTAACTCAATATTAAACATGTTAGCTGTATGTTAATGCAGTTACTAGGAGATATGATTGAAATGAGATTGGTCAAATATGAGCAGCACCTCCTAATAAAATGCAATCAAGTAGAACAAAGTCATTAACTCGTACCCTTAATATAGACAGTGTTGAATATGCATTTAATAACTCATACTCCCACACACATCTCTGTTGTTGTTAATATTGTCCTTTTTTATATATATCATTCCAGATCCACAGTTTTGATGAAAGTAGTGTGACAGGGAGCTGCACAGGAGGAGCAGAACATTTAGGTGGGTCTCTAAACCTATCATTATTTATGAAAGTATTCACAAGTCTCTATCTCTTGCTTGCTAGCTCGCTTTCTCTATATTACCACTTCTGGAACACAAGCAAAGTAGTTCCTTAACAAAACTTTATCACACCTGAACGACACTTTTATAGCACAGACCGCTTATTCGAAGAGTGTTTGTTTTACATGATAGAACTATCAACGGGAACATAAATATGTAAATCACCGGTATACAGTTTCAGCATCATTGGACAATCTCGCATGATGCAAACAAATGCAAAGGCATTAGAGGCTTTGGTCATTTCCATATGGGCATCATTGCTGGTTAGACTGCATGGTTTTCTGTCAGGCCAAAACATAGTGACCTCTCTATGTAACACTCGCACTCCAACACATTGTACGTGATAGGCTATGGGGCGGGACATCTCTAAGCGGTTGACCAATCAGAACAGAGCCGGCCAGCTAACCAATCAGAGCAGACTGGTTTCAGACAGAGGGTGAAAAGAGGTGCTGCAACACGTATGAGAAAAATAAAGAGCTTTTTGAACATTAAAGCATGGAGACATGTCCCAGTAGAGACACTACATACTGATATACACCTGAACATCAGCAGAAGAGGACTCTTTAAAGTAGAGACACTACATACTGATATACACCTGAACATCAGCAGGAGAGGACTCTTTAAAGTAGAGACACTACATACTGATATACACCTGAACTTCAGCAGGAGAGGACTCTTTAAAGTAGAGACACTACATACTGATATACACATGAACATCAGCAGGAGAGGACTCTTTAAAGTAGAGACACTACATACTGATATACACCTGAACATCAGCAGGAGAGGACTCTTTAAAGTACAGACACTACATACTGATATACACCTGAACATCAACAGGAGAGGACTCTTTAAAGTAGAGACACTACATACTGATATACACCTGAACATCAGCAGGAGAGGACTCTTTAAAGTAGAGACACTACATACTGATATACACCTGAACATCAGCAGGAGAGGACTCTTTAAAGTAGAGACACTACATACTGATATACACCTGAACATCAGCAGGAGAGGACTCTTTAAAGTAGAAACACTACATACTGATATACACCTGAACATCAACAGGAGAGGACTCTTTAAAGTAGAGACACTACATACTGATATACACCTGAACACCAGCAGGAGAGGACTCTTTAAAGTAGAGACACTACATACTGATATACACCTGAACATCAGCAGGAGAGGACTCTTTAAAGTAGAGACACTACATACTGATATACACCTGAACATTTGTATAATAGGACCCCTTTAAGTTATGAATATAACACACTGTCCCTCTTTCTGATTGCTTTCCCTTTCCTCCCCTGTGTGTGTGAGCAGCGCAGAGTTTCATGCGGTCCACCAGCTGCCAGTCAGACAGCAGTGGGTTTTTAGAGGAGCCCATCATCCCCCCCCTCAGTCAGCAGGCAGCACCGGGACAAGATCTCCTCAAGGTCTCCTAATAATGCACTCCTCTCACAATAAAATGCAATGCTAATTCTGCTGTACCCTTTTAAAATCACTCACTCTGACAATGTGCTTTAATGTGATGTACTGCATGTCTCCGGTTGTTTGACTGTCTGTAATGTGTGTTTGGTCGCAGGCTTTGTCAGGCTTGCTGGGAGGAAGCACCGACAGCCAGATCAGTGAGAATCCAGACTCCACCTCTCCAACTTCCCCTCATACCGCTTCATCTCTGCCACTCTCGTCATCTCCAACCTCTTCTGGTGCGGACAAGTCTCTCCTTTCACCAGAGCCTTCGTTAGTTTTCCCCCATTCCCCATCTCCCGTTTTATCGCGTCTCCTGGAATCCAACCTGCAGAGTTTACAGACCCCACGTGATCAGGATCAGTCTGCTTCGCTGCCTGCCTCTTTAACTCCAGATTCAGAGGAGATTAAAACTGAGGACCAGGATGCTCCACACCCCCACCTCTCTGGTCCATCCCATGACTCTGAGAGCACAACGTGCCTGAGTGACCCTCCTCCTCCTGCCTCATCTCCCTCTCCAAATTTGGCTTGTTTGTTTTCTGCGCCGATTGCCACGCAGTCTGACTCCTCCTCTGGGAACAGAGAGTCAAAACGGGCTGAGTTGGCTTCACGTGGGAATTCCCTCTCTGATTCCTCACCATCCTCACATCCCTTTTCAACTCCTGATCGTAGTTGTCCACCCTCTCCTGAATTTCAACCGGAAGTAAAGTCCCTTTCCTCAGACGAAATAAGCCTCTCTTATCCACTAAAGGAAGAGGACACCATCAATCCCTCAGCTCCTGTCCTGGACTCCTCTGAGTCTGAGGAGGTTTGTCCCACACCGCCTTCTCCTAAACCTTCCAGTCCGGTTTGTCAATTCTCATCACAATGCCAGGATGGTGAGGTAGATCGAGCTGTTGAAAGAATTCCAGGCCTTTCAGAGCACTCCCAACAGGTCAAAGCAAGTCATGATGATAACTTACATCCAGCCCCTCCTGTCCAAGATGTCTTCCAGAGGAATCACCTCCCGTTAGGCTTTGAGGATACCCATCGGACGGGGGGGCAGGGAGGGGAGGAGGGCGCTGACACTGTGCAGACTCCAGAGGTTTACATCCCAGACAGCTCTGCAGGCCTGTCAGCAAGTTCAAGATTAGTCTGTGAGGAAGTATGTAACCAAACAGAAATAGATCCGCAGCTCCAGTCATGGAGTTTGCAAGAGGAGCTTTCAGCTGGAAGCAAACCGGAAGAGAGTCAAAGGGGATCAGACAGAGAATCACTCACTTCAGTTTTACGTGATGATGTGCCAGAAGCGCACAGCAGACCTGAAGTGGAACCAAAGGGTCTGATAAAGGTCCAGAGCTTGGACCTGGTGTTTCAAACCTCAGTGGACGGCTCTGGAAGTGAAAGTGAAGATATGGAGGCGTTTCTTGAGCGGCTTGATAATGAAGGGCGAGTCTATTGGGCGGAACCGATCCAGGTTTCCAATCCGACTCCTGAAGCAGGCAGCTTTGAAACCCCTGACGAATCTCCTGGGAATACAAATGCAGCTTTTTCATCCACAGGCAGAGACATGACTTCATCTGTGACATCCTCAACAACAATGGACACGAACCAGACGTCACCAAATGCAACTTCCTCCTCAGGTTCACCCTCCTCTTTGACGCGACCATTAGCATCCCCCGTCGCATCTTCAAACCTGAAACCGTCAAGTCGCTCCGTCTCTATCCAGATGTCCTCATCTCCTTCCTCTCATATTGTCCACAGGACGGATGTTCCCTTCACGACTCACTCCAAACGCTCCCCTCTCCCTAGTGTCCTCCCTTTGGACACCTCCAGTCCTTTCCGCGCTGTCCAATCATGGACAGACCTGCACATCCAACGACACACCCTCACCCAGAAGTTATCACACGGGGGGGTTCATTCTGCCCCATATGAAGTGACCGTATCCACTGGAATGATACCAAACCCTACACCGAACTTCTCCTCGTCTCCATATTTGCCTAAAGAATGGGAGTCACATGACTATCTCCCTATGTTGGTGTCTGTGGATAAAGGGCTGTGGACCGATGAGGAGGAGGAGGTGGACAGGAATGGAGGGGAATATGAGGACAAGCTTTGGGAGAGTCCTCACACTGAGACCATCGCATGTTGCTCCTCCTGCGACCAGCAGTGTACCTGCAGGCACGGAGAGCAACGGGGGGATATTCCTGTGAGTAACACAATCACCATCATTTCTCCTTTCTCATCGTACTTTTTCTCCTCCGATTTATATTTTATGTTAGCTTTCCGTGTCCTTGGTCAGTTCAACTGTTTGAGCAGTGAGCTGTCCATCTTCCAATGAGTCACGACGTTTCCACTTTGATATAAATAGTATATTTGTTGTTGTGTTACCATAGTGCTTGAGATGGAGGCCCATTCATAGCCAGGACCTTATTAACATATCAATGCCTCATTTGCATGTGGAGTTTGAGGAGATGTTGACGTGGTGTGTGTGTGTTGCAGGTACATGAGGTGATACACAAAAGCTGAAATCTTCCTTACTTCTAAGCCTTAAATGTTTTTATCGTGTGTTGTTGAGCTAACGGTGTGTAAATGCAATTATTATCTATCATTCTTGATTTTCCATTTATCACATTTTCTTGTTATGCTGACAGTACTCTCTGGATGAGTTGGAGGAGATGATGCTGTGTCTGCAGCAGTTTCGCTCCGTGCTCAGCAACATGGAAGAGCAGCTCTCTGAGGACCAGGCTGCCGTTTACAGTGCTCTCTCCGACCAGGACAGGTACACAAACAACCCGTTTGCACCCTGACATTTCGACTTTGTGTCAACATTAAGGTCACAATATGTGGCTTTAGTTAGTAGAGCAGGGGCCGGCAACCTTTTTGATATGAAGTGCCATTCAAAATGGTGTGTGTGTGTGTGTGTGTGTGTGTGTGTGTGTGTGTGTGTGTGTGTGTGTGTGTGTGTGTGTGTGTGTGTGTGTGTGTGTGTGTGTGTGTGTGTGTGACCTAGCATTACTATACTTGTGGGGACCTAAATCTGTTTACACAGTCACGTGTGGGGACACACCTCCCTTATGGGGACAAATTGGAGGTCCCCATGAGGGGAATCATTCATTAATTTTAGGGTGAAGACTTGGTTAGGTTAAGGGTTAGGCATGTGTTTGGTTATGGTTAAGGTTAGGATAAGTCTCCAGGAAATGCATGTAAGTCAATGTAATGTCCCCTGAAGTGATGTGTGTGTGTGTGTGTGTGTGTGTGTGTGTGTGTGTGTGTGGTGTGTGTGTGTGTGTGTGTGTGTGTGTGTGTGTGTGTGTGTGTGTGTGTGTGTGTGTGTGTGTGTGTGTGTGTGTGTGTGTGTGTGTGTGTGGTGTGTGTGTGTGTGTGTGTGTGTGTGTGTGTGTAGGGTGAAGGTTCAGGACATAGAGGAGCTGAGGCGGGCGGTGCAGCAGGAGGCGGAGGAGCTGGAGCTGCAGCTGAATGAACTCGCCCATCACTACGATGACAGCTTGAAAATGGTGAGACCCTCTTTCACACTAACACACTCACAGAAACCCACAGGACAACCAGCTTCCTGTCTTCCAAAACCTTTTATCCCGTGGCACCTGCTGCCTGTAGCCAATCAGGGAGGAGCTCTGGAATTGTTGCCACTTTAATCATTAATCAGTCCCTATTAGAGCTGATCAGTTGTTGCTTTGACAAAATACATGAATCAAATGTGCCCTCTGAAGAGGCCTTTTGAAAACATAACATATAATATTGTTAGTTTATTAAAAAGCTAACAACCTCCTTTTTGTAACTGAATAATATAAAAGCAGGAAAATTACCAACAAAGACATCTTAAAGGGGAAGTGCGCTGTTTCTTCTTAAAGGAACAGGCCGGTAGAGAATTAAAGTCACCCTACAGAAACATGCACTTCTGTACTATACGCCATGTTTTTCAACAGATGCACAGCAGTTATGCGCACCTACTCTCAGCATGTGTTTTTAAATAGATATTTGATATATTTTAAGTAGTATAAGCAAAGTGGTATTCCTTGTTTCTGATCAGAAGATGCACAGGCTGTTGGATGAGCAGTCTCTGCTCTGCTCTCAGCTCAGCGTCCTACCTGGAGCGGGACCCCCCTCCTCGAGCCCGCCTCCCCCCGGCAGGACGGTAGCCACTCAGTGCTGCATGCGGCTCGGGACCCCCCCCGCAGCGGAGGAGACCCTCAGACAGTCCCCCCCTGGATCAAAGTGCCTCTGTGAGGGCCTGGACATGAAGCTGGACATGATGGGCTTCCTGCAGAGAGTAAGACATCACGTTAATATGAAGGGAAACAAGTACAGAGAGGATGACGTGTCAAGGTTCATTGTAGTTTATAACAAGTACAGTCTTTGATACTTTTATATTATTTTGTAAACTCTTGTCATGTTTTTCAGTTGAAGGAGTCTCTGCGTCATTCTGTGAACACAGACTCCTTGGAGTAAAAGGTGAGGTTTTTTTATTAATCATTTAATCATAATTGAAATGTCTGCCTAAGACTGCATACATCTGATATAGAAATTCATTTATTAACAGAAAAACAATATTTGGGTCAAGAAGAAGGAAGATTATATCGCTTTCTTTTCTTTTTCAATATATCAAAAGTTTACTTATTTGATTAACATTGCAGCTGCATAGTCAATGAAGAACACAGAATAAGACAACACTTAATGAAGCCGATAAGGATTGACTCAATGCTATGGAACCCTAACCCTAGTTTAGACCACATAACTGCCAGTGTTACGAATAAATATTGCAATTTATACCCTAATAAAATGTCATTTTAGGTTTAATTTAAATTGTGCTTGTATATCATCCTGATGTGCAGGTGTCAGTGGTGCTGCCTGAGAACCAGGGGGGCCTGAAGTCTTCCATTCACTGAAGAATATTTTTTCAGATATACGACTTTTGTAATAATTGTTCATATTTGCCTCTAGAAACACTACGAGCTGCATGAGAAGCAAACGTTGTTGTTAAGGAAAAATGTGTAATAAAAGAAAAGCAATAACGGCATAGGATAGGCTGTTTAAACATAAAAACATGTTTTAAATATATATATTTATATAAATGTAAGTATTTAATACACATGAGGCCTCTGCTCAGAAAGCACAAAGCTTCGTATGAATAATACCACTACAATAAACCGTAGAACAGTGAGACATGTTTGTGCTCTTTCTTACGTGCATGTGCTTTTTGTATGTCTGTATTATTTCACATTGAGGTTGTTGTTGTGTTGTTTGTTGTGCTGGGGGGACGTTTGGAACAAAAGCTCCAGCGGTCTACAGCACACTTCAGCAGGATGTCTCAATTACCATCAAGACTTCAAAAGGGTTTGATTATGACAAGGGTCTTTTTGTAGGAAAGCGCTGATATAACTAAAAAGAACGAGCAACACTCCTCCCTGTTCCATACCCATTTACATGTCAATTCCTATTATTTTATGTATTTATTTGATATGTAAAAAGGGATATGTTCCTGAAACTAAACTCTGTATATCTTCTTTTTTAGTGATGTATTTCAATATCATCAAGCAGTCCAAAATTGTTAGCCTGCAATGTTTAATACCATCTTTGTGAAATAGACACTTTTTAAGGTTAAATCATTGATACAATTATTCTTGAAGGAGTTATGTTTGTATGAATAAGTGTACAAAGCAAATTAAAATACATATATGATAAGCATGTTGTATATTGTCAAGAAGGAGGTGCGACAGAGGGTTTACTAACAACCCTTTTTTATCGAGTACAATGAGAGGGTGTGTTCAGGTCAGTTTTCTTAAAGGAGCTAATTAGACTTATATTGATATTCAGCAGCTCTTCTGGGGGGGGGGGGGGGGGGATAGGGTAGATAACGGGATCAGCAGCTGCTCCTCCTCCAAGCTTCATAACCCTCACTGCTCTGCTCCGAGTGTGTGACACTGCTGAGACCGAGGTAAGAACACACTTTGATTCCTTATTCATCATGGCTGCTTTGATTTGGTCTGAAACTGTTTCAAAGCTTTCTCTGTTTTTGTTTAATTTTCGCAGCCATATTTGCAACCAATCGGGGATCTATTTTAGTTTGTATTTATTGTTTTCACATGTGCCATACTGGCTGTCTTTGTTGATCATTTAGAGAATCAAAAAAGATTGCATCTGCTTACTTGACTAATATGTTAAAAGACACCGGTTTGGACATGTTTAAAGTGTAAAGAAGAGTAAAAGCAAGAGAAGATGTTGTGATGGACAAAGAACTGATGTTGGACTGTCGTCATTTTATCAACGCTTGAGTTCATGCAGTATTATCTAAAGTAAAGCAGATGTGTCGATGAGGCAATCACTCACACACACACACACACAGCGTTGAAGTGCTTTATCCTTTGTTAGTGTCATAAGGTCCTCTCATGAATAATGGATTGTGGATGATCGTGCGTGTGTGTGTGTTATGTGATACGTGTAGAAAGCCCCGAGGGCCTCAGAGATGACGACTGGCTGTGTGAGGTCGACCCTGGAGCCTGAACATCGACTGATGACACAGGAGAGCAAACACTGTGAGCACAGAGCTAAATGACACAACATAGCCCAAAGTACAAAATAATTGAAACATTAAATCCTCATTAGAGATCTTTTTGTCCAATTTTCAAGGAATAAAATCCCCAGATTGTTTTTAATTGACATTGATTTGTACCTGAATGATATCTTCTCAGACAAGTCGGCGCTGGAGAGCCTGGTGGGCAGGAAGTCAGAGATGAAGGGCGATGAAGAGGAGGGGAAGGCTCTCTGCTCAGAGGACCAGGACGTCCAGAAGAAGAAACCTCGCAGGAAAGACACACCCGTCCTCAACTCTCCTCCATGCATACCAGGTCAGCACACTAACACAATATGAGTCCAGGTTTGTGACTCTCAGCTCCTTTCTCCTCAGATATCCCCTGTTGTCTCAGAGAAGAAACCTCTCCAACCAAACATCTGTGAAGTGTGTTTTGTTTTTTAGCTGACAACCTGTCTTCCTTTCTTCAGGAGTGAGACAGCTGAAGGCGGAGAAGCAGATGGTCCACTTAGAGGACGAGGAGAAGGACTTCAAGGATTAAAGCCTGGATTTCACCTCTATTTTCTTGTCAATAAATGTTTACAGTCTTATTAAATTTTGCCTTGGCCTTAAGATTTGTTTGTTTTTTACATTTTCTGGCACCAGAAGACCAGGACAATTTCAAAAAGTGCTATCTTCTCCCCTCTTAAATGGCTTTTATCACCTAACTGGAAGATACCACCTGCGTTGACGGGGGTAGCTAAACGGAGCAGACATCCAAATCACACAAAAATAATAAATGTACCATTAATACAAAATCTGTAGATTATTGTTAATCTATCTCTGGGCAGCCATCCATAGCAACCAGCACACCAATGATATCTTATGGACTTCAAAGCTGTCTCCTCCATCTTCCTTCATGTTAAAAGTACCCGGACTTAATGAGACACACCTGTTTGCGCTTTGCTTGATTGAGCACCTGGTCCACCAACAAAAAAAACTGAAACGTATAAAACAACCGAAACAGTGTATGTCTTTAAAACCACATGAATTGATAATGCATCAAGTAAACTAAAAGCAGTCAAACAACCGGTTCCTTTTTGGGAAGAGTGTCTAGTTACAAGGTAAGAAGACACCCTTTTTCACAATTTGAATTTAATTGAAAAGACACAATGAGGAAGCAAACATGTGGTGTAAAGTCATATGAAGATCTTTACAATTGTATTTAAAGACCGATAAAGAGTCGTTGGTTTGGTTCCGGTGCAAGAAGTATATTTCCCAAAGCCCTGTATTGAAGTAAAAGTAATAATATTTGCCTTTGCCCCTACTTGATTACATGTACTCTGTAGTACACCACTGCAGCTCAACACTTGAGAGAAAACTCAGATTTTAATCTCACTCTTAAATTTAAAAATATTTTTTGACTCTATCAGTTTTTTTTATATATATAAATAAATGTGCAGCATTTAAAGTATAATACTTACCACTCCTGTCCTCAGGTATGGCTTATGTCTCACTCTTTGACTGCTTTTTGCAGAAAGCACACAAACTGAACTCTGCGAGGGACTCACTGGTAATACTCTGATAAATGATAAGTTAAATGAGATTGTTTGAGACAATTCAGCAGTGCCTAAAAATAAACTGAGACTGAGTTAAATTACATTAAAGAACACGTTCATTTCTCCAGCGGGACAACAGAGGGAGAGAAGGGAAGGGAAAGCCTAATAAAAAATGTCTTTAAATGATCAAACATAGAAATAATGATTAAGGATAATAGGAAATTAAAATGTATTCAGCAAAAGTCATAGTTTGAAGGAGCATTTTCCAAAAAAAAGTGTTAAGTCCAAAAAAATTAGGAGCTGTAATTAAATTGAGAGACATCTAAAAGAGGGTGGGGTTAATACATCAACACATCAACAGTGACCTATACAAGATTAAAACTCAGCAGGAGATCTGCTGAAGTACAAGGCTATATGCAAATATTAACAAAGACCCATCATCATGTGGTAATATCTCACGATGTGACATCACGCTGATGCACTTTAAGTCACTTTCGGCGCCGCAGGGAGATACGCTGCAGTCTGCGGGCTTTCCCCCGGGCATCAATGGGCCGCATCTCCGTGACCTTTGACCTGACCAGCCGGTAGGAGCTGGCAGTGTAGCTCGGTCTCTTGCAGTAATGGATCAGACGACACTCAAGCTGAGGCACTACAGAGACAGCAACATGAGAGTTAGCAAGGAAACACGCTCCAGACTTTGAGCTGTGTGTTTTTAACAACTTCTTGCAACATCTGCAGCTTTTAAAAGTCTACAAAATCTCAGAGAACAGCCCATGTATCTTGGTTGACTCACATTTTTGTGTGTATTATTTGAATATGACAATAAAGAATGTATATAAAAAGAAACTGTAATTATACTCCACAGGGTTGCAAGTAACAACCCTGCATAGAAATCTGACTTCAGCAAGAGACTACAGAAGTATTATCAACAATATGTACTTGTATATGAAACCTTAATAGTGCAGGGAAGTCTTGTTCTGTGTGAAAGCTAGTGGTCGCGTGTGTACCATTGTTCTGCTGCTTCTCCGTGTGGCCTTCAGGTTTCTTCCTGTGTGTGCTCTGAGCTCCTGCACCTGAGTGGTTGTCTCCTCCCTCCTCTTTAGGTGTTGTCTCCCCCTGCTGTCTCTCCCCCTGCCCCCCCACATCTCTCTTCCTCTCTTCCTGTCCTGTGTTGGGACTCGACTGTTTCTCCTCTTCTGTGTCTTTCTCCAACAGGCCGTCCTCCTCTCCCTCCTTCTTGGTCTTTTCTTTCAGATCTACACGCACAAATACACCATTTAGAAATGAATACAATCATCGAGGAATTGATTGATATGACTTGAAATACATAAACAGATATCAATGTGTACTCAGTTCTGCCGTTGTCTAGTATACAGTTGAAATAGCCATTATTGAAACATATATTGGAGTAACAGATATTAAAAGATAATTGTAGATACCTTTGGCTGCCTGGGCCTTCCACGTCTCCCTGTTTTGCTGAATCTCCTGGTTCCATGTGACCTTGAAGCTCTTGAAGTCCACGGTGGTCAGAGAGCAGCTTCCCTCTGAGCCCGTGCTCTTCACACTGGACTTCACACTGGACTTCACACTGGACTGCTTTCCATCGCTGCAGACGATACTCTGGTCACTGTGGACAGAGTAAACAGGCATGGGCACACACAAAGAATCAGCCATGCACATAACACAAAGTGTAAGAGATCATGACTGTGGTGCTAATATTACAATATTTACCAACCTTACAGTAAGTGTTTGAGGGAGACAGAAATATCTTATCCTTCCTAGTCTAATGGCCCTACACTGACATCTAGTGTCCAAAATGTGTCTGACTTCAATGTTAAAGCAATATATTCATTTTTTTAAATTACATCTAAAGTGTGAGAAAGCATTTTTTTTCAGGATAATGTCAGTCTTTCTTATCGAACAACGTCAGTGCAAGGAGTGTCACTCAGAAAATGAGGGTCTTTTGTGTGTCACCTAGAGTGTCTTAATCCGTTCAACTCAGAGCGAGATGCTTCCTCGATAAGCGGTGACACAATCCTCTCGATCATTTCTGCCAGCACGGTGAAAGTTGGCTCCACGATGAAGTCGATGAATCCTGCAGGAAACAGAAGCCAAATCAACATTCATAGAATCAGGAACTCATTAGGATGCATCTGTATGTGTAGTGTTATTTGTATACCTTACCAATCTGGGACTGGGCCACCAAAGTGGATTTGCGGTCACAGAGAGGAGAGAAAGGTAGACCCAGCTCTGCTTCTTTATCACCCTGAAAACAAATCCAGAAACATCAACAACACATCACTATTTTGGATTTAACCTTTAGTGTCCTGTGTTGTGTCATTGTATGTCCTGTTACGTTGACTCAGTGGAAGCAACTCTTACTCTGAATATGTTTTGTTGATGCTGGCGGCCTTTGTTAGCCCATTTAAAATGCTAAATTAAGCTAAATGTGGGTGTCAGTCGGTGGGTACCTGTCTGAAGAACTCCTCCAGCAGGGATGTGGTCCAGCGGTGGTGGAGGTCCCAGCGTTTGGCGGGGTGGCTGATATCCGCAGTGTGCAGCAGCAGAGATAAGGCCTTCGGTTTGTCTATCCTGCAAATACAGTCAGTCAGTCAGTTCTATAAATGAACTGACAAGCTGCTGTGCAATATCTAAAGACAAGTACTTGATTGTGTAGCTGATGTTAAGCACGTAGCTTGATGAAGTTCTGCCTGGCTCTTGAAGTTTTGGTAAAGTCATGATGGCGCAAGAGGACAAGGCAGGTGATTACTAGAGGGTTACTCAGTAGGGTTTATCCTCTGGAGACCACTATTATTTTAAGCAGATTTCACGGCAGTAATGCTAGCACAGCTGAAAACCTGCCCCTCTTAACTGCTATGAATGATCACATCGAATGAGTCACAAATCGTCAGCCAACAAGTCCTGGCCTGTGTCGGTGTCTCTTGAGGTGAGGTGTGAAAACTCTCCTCTGATGCTGTCCAGGTACATTTTAATTGCTTTTGTCAGGTTGTGTGGTTTAGTTCAAATGAAATTATATAACAAAATGGTGATACAATATTACATAAATACACCAACAAACATCCATTATAACAATGACATAGTAATTATGAACAGTTGTATTCGTACTATGTTGCATTTAAACCATAGACTGTATATGATTTAGACATATAATCCAGGTTTGGCCAAAGAATATTTTTTCTCAGGTATGGGGAATTACTCAACTAGAGTAAAAATCATAATTCAGCTATAGTACCACTTCAACAATGATATTCACTTGCTACAGCACAACACCGCTATAGTCACAAGTAGTTATAATGGTGTTAAACCCATGTTTTGATAGTGTCAGCATCCCCACTAAGGTGTTTAAACCTTATTTAATGTCACCAAATCTGACTCCCCATAATGCAACCGTACTCACGTCTCCGGCTGCTGCAGGAAGCTCTTCATGGCCTTGATCTGCTGGAAGTGGCAGGACATGTCTGTGGCCAAAACCATCTCCACTACCAGCGTCCGCAGCTCTCTGGAGGATCGGATGAAAGGAAAACATCACAACAGCAAATGGATGGAAAGCCAAACAATACCTTGAATTGTGTTTGCTAGTTCTCCATGACGCAACATAAGACTCTTTACACTTATGATGAAACACCTTAAATTATGGCACATCACCCTCAGGTGTTATTTCTCACCTCCAGTCGTCTTTGGAAAGATTAGTGAAGATGTTCATTTCGTCTCCGGACTGCAGGAGTCGATAGGCGGCGCTGACGTGGTAGTTCTCCAGGACAGCTCGGTCATTGTACAACATGGCTGTGTCCGACCTGCAGAGCCCACACAGTTACTTACTGAAAAATGACCAGAGACCACAGATGGCAAAAGTACACACATCCTTTACTCAAGTAGAAGTACAGATACTCGTGTTTAAAAATACTCTGGTAAAAGTAGAAGTATTGACTAAACTTCTTTGCAAAAGTAAAGAAGTATGGGCTTTGAAATGTACTTCAGTAAAAAGTACCCATAGCTAGCAGCTGTTTTAAAGAGTACCTGACCTCCCTTTATATTAATAGAACAATAATGTCATTGTTAGCTAATGAATGTTTCCATGCTGAACAACGGCAACATGACAACGTTTCCATTGGTCCCTCTTCTTTAGAGAAGACCAGGAAATGATGGATACACGGATTGTGTTCAAATCAATAGGCGCGCAATGACTCTAAAGAATAATGATCACGCATCAAACACACATTCAGACTAAAGGAACCAGCCTGTTTGGAAAATGTAAGAAGTAGAAAGTACAGGTATTTGTGTTTAAAATGTAAGAAGCAGAAAGTACAGGTATTTGTGTTTAACATGTAAGAAGCAGAAAGTACAGGTATTTGAGTTCAACATGTAAGAAGTAGAAAGTACAGGTATTTGAGTTCAACATGTAAGAAGTAGAAAGTACAGGTATTTGTGTTCAACATGTAAGAAGTAGAAAGTACAGGTATTTGAGTTCAACATGTAAGAAGTAGGAAGTACAGGTATTTGTGTTCAACATGTAAGAAGTAGAAGGTACAGGTATTTGTGTTCAACATGTAAGAAGTAGAAAGTACAGGTATTTGTGTTCAACATGTAAGAAGTAGAAAGTACAGGTATTTGTGTTCAACATGTAAGAAGTAGAAAGTACAGGTATTTGTGTTCAACATGTAAGAAGTAGAAAGTACAGGTATTTGTGTTCAAAATGTAAGAAGTAGAAAGTAAAAAGTCGTCAGAAAAATAAGTAGTGGAGTAAGTACTGATACCAGATAAATGTTCTTAAGTACAGTAACAAAGTATTTGTACTCCACTACTTCCCACCTCTGCCAGAGACACAAATGATGCTGGGTGGAAGTTACCTGGTCTGAATATGGAAGTTATTGGTGGTCCCTGTGTGTTCAAAGTCATGGATGGCTGCTGCAAAAATTATGGCGAAGATCTCCAACTCAGTTAACCAGTGCTGAGAGAGAGAAACAGAGATTAGAGATAATATACTTTCTCAAGTGACGGAGGGAAGGACTTTTTGTTTTGAGTATTGAAAAGCTCTCTCTGCATTCCCTTCTTTAAAAAGTTTGCATCAACACGTACCACCATGCCAGTCTTGAGCAGCAGGTAGTGGATGGTCTGTGTTACATCAGCTGCATGCATCAGGTTGTGGTAAGGATTCTTGTATTTGCTGTAGCCTATCTCCAACGAGTCCACGAACGACATGAGGGCTGAAATAGGGACCTGCAAGAGAGGAGACGCAACAATAAAACACGACATTTGAACCACGTATGAGTAAATAAACTAGAACGATCACACGGAATCACCTATCTGTAGAATCTTAACTGTGCATTCATACCTTGAAACGATTGATCAGGTCGTATCTGGTGAGCAGCTCGTAGAAGACAAACTTCAGAGCGTGGTCTCCACTCGCCTCGTTCAGCTCAAACACATCGAAGGACCACATGTCCACGTGCTGGAGCAGATACACAAACAAGTTTATTTAACATATGTAGGTTAATGTTGTCCTTTTTTATCCTTTCACCATAAACAAAAACATACATGTACATAAACTCATGAATACCTTGATCACAGTGATGACGTTTGAGGGATAACTAAGACCAGCCAAGTTGGAGGTTCGTCGGTACATCCTGCCACACAGATATGACACATCGTCAAACACACTGACTAGTTGGTATTACTACTTCTTCTTTTGGTTCTGTTTTATTCAATCAAATGATTTCCTATCTCTTAAACATCCAAAAATGATTTAGAATTGGCTAAATAGATAAACCAAAATGCTTCCAATACCAAAATCCTGTCTAGTGTTCTATTCCCAGAGAAATTATAATAGAAGTAAACCAATCAGACCTCTCCACAAAGATGCCAGCCTGCACTGCGTGGACGATGCTTCTGAAGCGCGGCTTGTCTTCGTTGCGGCGCAGCATCAGGCCTCTCTGCCGGGTGAAGGTGGAGGCCAGCCAGTCCCGGACCTCTGAAGGCACCGTGTCCGACTGGATGTCACTCAGCTCGTCCTCCAGGTCCACAATCCGCCTGCAGGGAGACACACAAAGGCAATGACTCATGCAATGTACAATTATTTGCAGGTTACTTAAAAAGCTATCATTTGACTTGATGATTTATCTCGCTTTTTCTGCAGAGTGTAATTCAAAGCTGACTTCCATCGATTCAACTTTCTCTTCGTATGTAGAAAAATGGTAACTGCTATACAATAGGCACATTTGTAATGAATGCAGCAATAACCTAAGATTTAAGATTCAAAGTTGAGCTCACAGTATGTTTGGAGTCTAAGTGGTCAGTGTTGCTGGGCAACTGACACAGAAAGACTTGTTTTTGTACCTTTTTCAACAGTGTGAAGGATGTTGTTTTTGTACACGTTACAACTTCCATGACCCCTCTGAACTTTGCCTAAAAGTACTTTAAATCATCCTGGAGTCATGAGTTATATTAATACTGAAAGGGTGAGCTCGATGGTTTGTGTTAAAAGGTCTTGATATCTCCTCATCTAAGACACATACAACATATATTGGGTTATCATTATTATAGTAAATTATAGTAAATGCATACAGAATATAATCTTCTGAAAAGGACCATGCAGCATAACGACTACTTGGGTACTTTAGGTGCTCATATTTCTTTCGGGGCTTTACTTGTAATAAATAATTTGTACATAGTTTCTTTTGCTGCATTTACTTACATAATGAAGGTAAACAATCAGAATACTCCTTCCCAAACTGCTGAAAAGTCTAAGTTTCGACCGATCATAATAAGTCTTAGCGACATTCAAGAGAAGAATGTCAAAATTAAGTACTTTGTTTGACATGCAGTTAATGTTTTCGTATGGTTTCTTGCCTTGTTTCTTCAATGTAAAGCGATTCTAGGACTGAGGCAGCGTTCTCCAGGTTCTTCTTCAGGTCGGGCACAGAAGCCTCCCCCCTCTCCAGCTGCTTCACGAGACATCTCAACCTGCAACACACGCCGTCACACCATCAGCAACACACCTTTATATAAACAATGCCACATGCTTTAACTCCGAAAACCAGAAACCTTTCACGATAATCCGTTTTACCATAACATCGCTGAATACACTCTTCTGTTCTCCCTTCTGAAACTAGCCATTGTTTTCACTCTTAAATTAAAAGGCCTTTAAAATGGTAATATCTCCTCTAGGAACTCATTTCTAAAATAAATCTAGAGGCCACTTCTCACAAATAATTTAAACATATTTGTCGAGAGAATGTGTGCATCTTGAGAGTGGTTTTTATGATAAAACAGTAAAATCACGTAGAAGTTGTTATTATTTGTCTCACAAAGTTAATTTCACCACAAAGCAAAACACAGAACTGCTTTACAACTCCATGATATGCCAGTTGTAACATGCAGACTCAAACGGAAATCTGGTGTGTGTGTGTGTGTGTGTGTGTGTGTGTGTGTGTGTGTGTGTGTGTGTGTGTGTGTGTGTGTGTGTGTGTGTGTGTGTGTGTGTGTGTGTGTGTGTGTGTGTGTGTGTGTGTGTGTGTGTGGTCTAGCATTACTATACTTGTGGGGACCTAAATCTGTTTACATAGTCACGTGTGGGGACTGGCTTCCCTTATTACATTACATTACATTACATTACATTACATTTAGCTGACGCTTTTATCCAAAGCGACTTACAATAAGTACATTCGACCAGGAAGACACAACCTTGAAGAAAACAGAATCATAAAAGTACATCAGGTTTCATAGAGCCAAACATTTCAAGTGCTACTCAACTGGCTTTAGATAAGCCAGTCCTTTATTAGTATAAAGTGCTCTGTTAATAATTCTATCGCTCGAAGTGGAGTCGAAAGAGATGAGTTTTCAGTCTGCCCCGGAAGGTGTGTAAGCTATCTGCTGTCCTGATGTCAATGGGGAGCTCATTCCACCATCTTGGAGCCAGGATAGCAAACCCACGTGTTTTTGCTGATGGGAACTTGGGTCCCCCTCGCAGCGAGGGTGCAGCGAGTCGTTTGGCTGATGCAGAGCGTAGTGCACGCGCTGGGGTGTACGGTTTAACCATGTCCTGGATGTAGGAAGGGCCAGATCCATTCGCAGCATGGTAAGCAAGTACCATTGTCTTGAAGTGGATTCTAGCAGTTACCGGAAGCCAGTGGAGGGAGCGGAGGAGCGGAGTGGTGTGGGAACATTTAGGAAGGTTGAAGACCAGACGAGCCGCTGCATTCTGGATGAGCTGCAGAGGTCGGATGGCACATGCAGGTAGACCAGCCAGGAGGGAGTTGCAGTAGTCTAGGCGTGAGATGACGAGAGCCTGGACCAGAACCTGCGTCGCTTTCTGGGTCAGCTGGGGACGTATCTTCCTGATGTTGTAAAGCGTGTATCTGCAGCAGCGGGTTGTAGCAGCGATGTTTGCAGTGAAGGACAGGTTGTTATCTAGGATCACACCCAGATCCCTTATGGGGACAAATTGGAGGTCCCCATAAGGGAAATCATTAATTTTAGGGTGAAGACTTGGTTAGGTTTAGGATTAGGGTTAGGGTAAGGGTAAGGGTTAGGGTTAGGTTAAGGGTTAGGGTTAGGCATGTGTTGGTTATGGTTAAGGTTAGGATAAGTCTCCAGGAAATGCATGTAAGTCAATGTAATGTCCCCTGAAGTGATGTATACATGGTGTGTGTGTGTGTGTGTGTGTGTGTGTGTGTGTGTGTGTGTGTGGCCTAGCATTACTATACTTGTGGGGACCTAAATCTGTTTACATAGTCACGTGTGGGGACTCGCCTCCCTTATGAGGACAACATGGAGGTCCCCATGAGGGGAATCATTAATTTTAGGGTGAAGACTTGGTTAGGTTTAGGGTTAGGGTTAGGCATGTGTTGGTTATGGTTAAGGTTAGGATAAGTCTCCAGGAAATGCATGTAAGTCAATGTAATGTCCCCTGAAGTGATGTATACATTGTGTGTGTGTGTGTGTGTGTGTGTGTGTGTGTGTGTGTGTGTGTGTGTGTGTGTGTGTGTGTGTGTGTGTGTGTGTGTGTGTGTGTGTGTGTGGGAGAGAGAGACCTGATAGCAGTCCTCTCCATGGCGTCGGCAGAGTCAGGGACAGGCAGCTCGTCAGCCAGTATCTCCTCGGAGCTGCGCGGGTCGATCCCGATCCCTTTGGGTTCAGTGGAGCCGGCTTTGACAGCAGTGCAGAGTGCATTCTGGGACCGTGAGCCTGAACAGTTTTCATACAATCACTGATAATATATCTACACATATATTACACAATCCAGGACCATAACTTGAAATAGAAAGGGGACATCTTTGGTGAACTCACGTGCAAAGCGAGCCAGTGGATGTCGGGTGTTTTTTTCCGATCCCTCGTTAGCAACTGGAAAGATAAGAGACATTCTTTCATTTTAAATTCTCATTTGTTCTTTAAGTATGGTGTTTAAAGATCACAGCAACAACAAATTAAGTCATTAAAAAATCGCATATGCATAATAAAAATACAGTGTAAGTAAACAAACAACAATACGTAATAACAGGATAAATATAGAATGATCCAGGAGGACACCTGCCACTCCAACCAGAAAGGGCAAATATAGCAGGATTAGTGTGTGTGTGTGTGTGTGTGTGTGTGTGTGTGTGTGTGTGTGTGTGTGTGTGTGTGTGTGTGTGTGTGTGTGTGTGTGTCAAGTGATTGGGGAGGATGAGTGTATGGCTGGAATCAGGCAGAAAAGGAGGGAATACAGCAAATCCACTTAATTAGTGATAATGACTCCCTGAGCTCAGCACCCTAACAACTGACTGCACACACACATGCACGCACGCACGCACACGCACACACACACACACACACACACACACTTATTAGCACCAGTCAAAGTGATGTCACATTATGTCATCTCTTCTGGTTCCCATGGAGACAGCAGTCAGTAAACACAGACACACACACACTGTAAAATGACATGGCCTTCACAATTATATGTTTTTGTATTATATTATCTTCAACCGATGTAATGTGTAGACACTGTTTTCATATCGTGTGCCCGAAGTATCTCAAACAACTGCAGATCACGCTTGGATGTGGGAGTAATTTCAGTCTTTTCCGCCCAAATTAAAAAGTGTTTGATAAAATTCATTGTCCAACTTCCTGTCCTTGACCAGATACTGACAAGGATTTCTACACAAACAACTGTGCTGCATGCAATCTGACTGCAGTAAGCCTGAACAACACCTGGTGCACAAGCTCTTTGACTACAATGTTATGCAACTAGCCTAGCACTACCTGTAGACAGGGAAATGACACGTGAATGATTATTGCTTTTCTGTGCATACAACCCTGGACCACGGCTGTAAAGAGGCAATTAAGTCTACTACGAGACAGTTAATGAAGGGAAACCTGGAAAGATAACAAAAAATGAGGAGCATTGATGAGTTTTAACACTGAGGATGGGTTCAGTTGGATGGAGTTTGGTTAGAGTTCTCTTTTGGGCTGCTTTGAGCATGGGCTCTGTCATGTGGGAACAGGAAAGGGCCAAACACAAACTATTTACACAGAGTTGGTGAAACACTTTTGTCTTAAATATCAATGTAAACTGGAGGATTAAGATTTTATTTTGATTAGAAATAAGGAGCCAGAAGCAGTAGAGGATGTACACCATTGAATACACACAAAGGACTCTAAAGGGCCTCACGGGCTGATTCACAAGTAACTGTATATTCATACAACATCAAATTAAAAGAGGTAATTTTATGGATAAGGATAAAGTAGAAATATTAGTGATTTTGTTAAAGCTGTCAGTACAAAAGAATATTTCTTTCTCTTGAGTGACATGCGACATACAAAGAAAATTGCACTGAGAGTGAGCACCTGCAATACCATAAGCGTTAAGTAAAGAACACCACCTGTTCAGCAACACACACACACACACACACACACACACACACACACACACACACACACACACACACACACACACACACACACACACACACACACACACACACACACACACACACACACACACACACACACACCACACACACACACACACACACACACACACACACACACACACACACACACACACACACACACACACACACACACACACACACACACACACACTGTAACAAGGAGTCTCTTACCGATGGTGAAGCTGAATCCATCAATGCTGAAAGTGGCACTCCGACACTTTTTGATCCCTTGTTTTTTAGATGTTGGTTGTGTCATCGTGGCTCTTAGTGTGTGCTGCTCTGCTCTCTCGCTGGCTGTGTGTTCAGAGGATGTTTCCCAGGAGAGGCTGAACAGGAGGCTGTTCCCTCTGCTGGCTGTAACCCTGGCAGTGCTCGTAGTCCCGCTGGAGGCTGACGGTGCTGCAGAGCTGTGAGCTGCTGTGTTCAGGAGGAATGCTGGCCTCCTCCGCCCCTCCTCCTCCTCCTCCTCCTCCTCCCTGCTCTTCATCTCTCAAGGCCACTGTGATCCTGCAACAGCACCTACAATGGCAACTCTCTCCAGTTTCTCTCTTTAATATATGTATTGGTGCATTTCCTGTAGAACACTTCTAATATGGCCTGCATTTTGTTGTACATTTTATCTCGTGAACACTGGATCTCGTGTAGAACAACTTGTACAGATGTGTTCTTTTGTGCCATGTAGGAACTATGAAAGAGAGTGTGTGGCCATGACCATTTTTTTCTCACACTCAGAATAAGGTACAAAGGAATTCTCGAGTATCCCTGACCTATTGTACAATCATTTACAGATGGTTTGCTTTTATCTACAGGGGAAAAACATTCATTTCACAAGAAATCCTAATGCTGTCATCTGAATACAACTCACCCTTGTATCGTCGTCATCATGGCTGCCAGATTACTGGGAGATTTGGGGGATTTTATGTCTGTTATCGGCATATTTCGGCACAAACCTGAACTCTGCATTACCTCAAGTCTGTCATTTTGTTAAATGAGGTGTTCCTGTACTCCAAGACTCAGAAAAATGCTTTATTGAGACAGATGTAAGATGGACACAATAGCCAAAGTGTCAATGTAATTTAAAAATCACAATTGTTGTGAGGCACCAGCTTTAAAATGAGGTTGTCAGAGTTAAAAATGTTGTTGAAAGTCATGCAGATGTTTCAGTAGTGTAAACATTTATTGAGCAAACGTACTGAACACATCCTCAACAAGCTGATTGGAAGAAGTGAAGATGATGTTACTCTTGTCGGGGATGATTGATTCCAGGAAAAGAAAACAGTTTGCCTGATTGAGTCCCGATAAAGGACTGACGGTCATTGTAGCCTTCAGCAGGGTCAAGTTATAGAAGACCACACCGTTAAATGAGAGCAGGGACATCTGATAGGGCTGGGAAGAATATGAGATGCCTCAGAAGCTTGGACGTTAGAAGATGAGTGCAGTCCTTATGAGGGTTAATAAAGGATGCAATCTTATTATATTTCAGTAGAGCAATAAGTCATTAGAACTGACTTGATAACAGTGTGCTTGGGTAGTTTTTAAAAAGTCGACTGATAGAGGAAAAATACACTGGATGGATATATGATATTGTACGCTTTCTGTCAGTGCTCAGCCATGAGTGAAACACAGCAGACTGTTCAGAGCTGACAGGGTGGAGGAGTGTAACTGTGATCACTCCGCTTCATCATTACTCCTTCCAGTTACTGAGGTATAAAAGTGAGACGGGTTGTGACATGCCGTCTTTTGTTGAGACACGGCTGTCAAGTGTTACACACACACACATGCCATAACACACAAGGGTTGAGCAGCCAAGCAGAAAGGAAGCAGCGTGTTCTCCTGGGAGCATAGCGGGTGGAAGAAGCTGAATAAAAAGTTCCTTCCTAATTTATTTGGTCAAGAAGGAGCTTTTTATTTCAAAGAAGTGGGAAGTGAAAAAGCAATAGAACTAATAGTTTCTGTGTAAAACAAGTATATCTGCAGCCTCTCTTCCTGGCTCGTCCTCTGAAGTTAATTGAATTTCCTTTTTAGAAAAGCACATGACCGTCCTGTGATTTGATGTCTCTTGGTCATCTGAGCTGTTGTCAGTGTGAGGATTACATCCCGGCTGAACTTTACTGAGGAAGTTTGAAGCAAAAATGAATCCATCCCGGTGGTTTTTTGCAGTTTTCCTGACAGTTGGTGCCTCTGAGCTTTGCTGTGCCGGACCTTTCCATGCCCAGTGCAAAGTGGATTGGTATGCTTTTTTCTCTGTTGTACATACTTTATAGATGTTGGGTTTTCATAACAAAAACCGACCAATATTGCATAATTCTGTACACATCTCTAGTATTCTGGCGAATGTCTATCTAATTTTGAAATGATTGCCCTATTTCTGTCAGAACTTGAATTCAATTTAATGTTTCACATCCAGAGCATTTGTAATGATATGTAAAATTATGATAGGGTTAGAAAATCTAAAACAAGTAAAAGTAAAGTCCATCAGGATTTGGCAGAGGTCCTCAAACTATAGACTATAGTTGCTTGTTGCTATTTTTGCAGCCAGTTTGTCCATTGGGTGGCACTACAGGGAAGGCCATGAGGTAAAACTTAATTTAGGATGCAGCCAGCAATATTCACAGCAATCTTCCCATTAGTTGTTAATATTTCCTGTGTGCGACTGGAAGTTGTGGCCTGCCAAAGGCATTTGAGAATTGCCAGGAAATGTCATCTGATGAGCAGAAAACACAAATAATGATATAATTATAAAGGAAAGACACAAACAGATTCAAGAAAATCAGTATGTGTACAATTCTTTCCTCAATCAACTCCTCTCTGACACAATACACTTCACAAAGGTTAGATTTCCAATTGTGTTAGACAGCATTATATTTTAAATGTATTTTCATTTCTATACCAACTGAATATTCTTAGACAATTCTTGTTTTTGGAGTCAGAACAAATCTGTATGCATTTGGGAATATGTTGGGATTGGGAAAGAACATGTGATCTTCTTATCATCTTAATATGTTCATCTTATTAGCTGTAATTAACTTAACCAGCCAGTCAAACCACAGAGCAGGACACTGAGATGCCATTTATATTGTGAGCGGGAAATCTCCTTCTTCTGAGCTCAATCATGTGACTGAACTACGACAGTGTCTTCTTTTTCTCTGAATTTCTATCTTTATTTCAATTGTGTGTGTTTAATACAAATAAAATACAGATCATTACAAAAGAACAATGGAGACATTATGCTTAACACCAAAAAAGGTTAGTACTGTTTTCATCTAAATAATGCGGTAAAATGAGTATGCATTTCAAAGGCGTCATTATTAAGACAGCAAAAAGTGATATAATTGAGTCCAAAACAACAGTGACAGCTAGTTTCCACTAGATGGCACCATTTTGTTTACAACCCCAGCTTCAGTTGTTTCTCAGAACCAGAGCTCAGATGAAGGTAAATGCACATTTAGTGGCTTGTTTTTCTCATACAGGTACTTTGGGATACCGTGTCTAAAGGTTTATGAGGCCTTGGTCTCACAGATTCAGAAGTGGAGAACCATGGCCGGCTGCACCTTGGGAGGACAGAAGTGCCTGTATAAGGTGAGTGTGAGTGTGTGTGTGTGTGTGTGTGTGTGTGTGTGTGTGTGTGTGTGTGTGTGTGTGTGAGTGTGTGTGTGTGCGTGCCTATATGTTTTGCTGTACTTATGAGGACAACGTATTAAGAAACAACTTATTTTGTCAGGACCTTTCTGACATTTGTGCTTTTGATTAAAATATCTGTACAACTAGTCACTAATGGAATTGAAATGGAATGACTTTGGTGATCCACTGACTCTTTCTCTTAATATTAAAACATTTTGGGAAATATCTCAACATTTTGTGATGCTTTGAATTTTCCTCCAGTGCCAACAGCAAGTTTTTAAGTGATCAAAATATATCCAAAACTTGACCCCAGTGAAATTAGGTACACATATGAGCAGGAGAATGTGATGCAAAAGGAAATAATAAAAACTTGAAACAAATGAAAGGGGTTTTAGGTTTTTGAAAAGTCTGTTGTTTGCCCTATGTCTGGGATAACACGTGGTCTGAACCGTCTGAACACAAATTCAATGCCATGCCTAATCTGGACTGGGCCACCCATTCAACACCAAACAACCCGTTTATTTGGTGCAAGATACACGTAAAAGAAAATTGCATAACGACTGTGACTTCCTCAGCGTTTGTAGATTGTTTGTCTTGTTGTATTCTTTCAACTTTGTACCCCACCATTTGGTAAATCAGATGTAGCAAATACTTTGTTCTGTGTTTTCTACACGAAAGAAAGTCAATTTAATGAAACAATTAAAGTCTTTAAATATGAATTGTTGTCTTTGCAGCTGCAGTCTGCCTCTGTCCACTTCATTGCAGCCAAACACATCACTCCCTTCAAGAGGTCTGTGGACGACATCAACTTCCGGCTGGTCCCCTTTCACTTCTTCACCTGCTGTCACGTTTCGGTAGGTTTTCGCTCTCAGATTATTTATTATCTTAAAGTATCTGAAAACCAAACTAGCAAACTGTTTATCATGATTCCTATAGTCCTATAAAGTTCACTTTCTCTTCTCTCTCCTCATATTTCTTTACCTCTCTTGGTTTGTATTCTCATCTGTTTCCTCTCTGTCTCAGCCCGTTTTCCTTTCTTGGTATCTGTCCTTATTCCCATTCCTGCCTGAATCATGATTATGTGCAGCCTTGTTGTTTATTGTAGTTGTGACTTTGTTGTAACTTTGTTTGTAGGCTATGTCTGTTTCTGAGACCTGGTACGCCATGAAAGACCACGGCACCAACTACTGCAACCTCTACAACCTCATAGAAGGTAGGACCATGCACTGGCCAGCAGTATTACTCATTATATATCGGAAAAAATGGTTTTACACAATATTAGACGCCTCTCATACCTGTCTGTCTTGTCATTGGTTGTCAACAGGAAGCGGTCTGACTGAAGCCAGAGGTTACAGGGAGGTCACCAGTGACTTCCTGTGCACCCAACGCTACTCTGCTAACTGCACGGTCTACTGACAAGAGTAATCACTTACAATTTAGAAGTTTTGATTTAATTCTTAATTTTGGATGCCTTTCTTTTTCATTGCCTGCTTTAACTGTTGTATTTGGGGACACATTTTTCTGATAACTGATTATACATAATCACTTGATTGATAGGTTATTCAGTTAAATCTAAAAGCATGAATAGAGTAACTAATGATGTATTAATTTGACTCAGGTATAACAGTAATTACAAAGTACAGGCAGTTTATTCTTATGTAGCAGGAGCATTTAATAAACATAATAAAATGTAATGTTTAAGGGACATCCATTCAAGTTAGGTTTTCTGATTCCTGTACTTTTAAGGTTTTCTGATTCCTGTACTTTTATGAGTTTCTGAACTGTCAAAAACGTGTATCTCTTTTGCTTGTTCTCCAGCCAACTGGATTGGATTGTTATTGTTTGGCACTGTTTTAAACCTTTATTTTGTTAAATAAATTGTTCTTATTATTTCCCACCAACGTGTTCAACAATCAAATCAGTCAGTTTTCCTGGCTCATGACCTCCAACTCACCACATCATATTTCCAAGGCTGTGCTGTGGCTCCTGCCTGTCTAACAGCCAAATAAAGACGGAAACATCGTTTTGGTTCTGAAGTCACCGGTTGAGATTTTGATGATGTCCTTTGTCTTTCTTGTTTGTTCTTGGCCTTTGGTAAAAACAAGATCGAAAAAAGAAAACGGCGCACATCAACAGAGAGCCTCTCGGGTGTGAATATAGCTGTGGATACCGCTCAGAGGTGAGTCACAGTCTGACGAGGGGCATCATTCTTTCTGACACCTAAACCAGTTTTCGCTCTTTAAAATGATGGTGGAGTGAGTAGGGCGGAGGGAGCCACCAGGAGAAATACACCCTTAGCTGCATGTGGATTGCAGGGCAGCTTTTATTAAGGGAGCAATATGCTCAGCTGGGCTTAGCCATCCATCACTAAGACCTGCACCCCCCACCCCCCCCTCCTCACTTTGTGGCTGGAGCACGTGGACTTTGGTGTCTCTTTTCTCAGGGCTGAACAACTGACTGGCAGGTGAAGTGAAGCAAAAGGGGCTCGCAGTGCCTACTGACTTCCAAAAGGTTCTCAATGCATTCTGGAAACACTCTCTAAACATCCAGTCAAATTCTGGTACTGGATCATTCAGGAAATGGTCAGTTCGCTGCTCAGTGAAGCAGAGAACTGTCTGAGGCACACCCAGAGAGAGCACGACTGTGTGGCATTTCACCCGTCTTGTCCCTCAAAATGTCGGCTGGTGCCCAACATGAAATTTCAATCAGACGTTTTCTACATTTTCGGTCATTTACTGAGTTTGACTAATGTTCCTAAATTGTTATATTCCTCTACTTTAAAAGGTTCCTTTGATAAAACTGAGATCTTTGTCTAATAACTAACTGTGCTCATCAGACTTACATTGGGAGAGGGCAGTGGTAGGTCTGACTTCAAAATAGCTTTGGCTTTCAGAAATCATTTTTAATTGACAGTTTTCTGTCCGGCTGACATGTTTTATCTGCCCCTTCTGTCTCCGCATGTGAATGCATTTCACTCCACCCCAATCTGTCCAATCTGAGGGATACTTTGCATGCGACAGGCATACTGCGCATGTCAATATTGTTTATTCAAGAGTAAAATTCATACTGTTTCAATATGTCAGTGGTATTGCTGCATGTGTTTTGTTTGGTTTTTGAGGATGAGGACAGAGAACTGCCCAAAAACTACACCCCCATCCACACAAACACTCCCTCCACCTCTCCCCCTTTTTTTTGTTGCTCTTTCTCTGTCTTTCCATCTCTCTGCCTCACTCTCCACTTTCCTCTGTCTCTCTTTAGTTCAAAGGCTGCCAAATCCTTCCCAAACCAATTAGAGTGTATGTAAGGTCCTCAGGGGCCCCCCGCGGTGACAGTGCAGGGTACGGAGTGGCAAGGGGTCTGAGGAGGCAATCACAGTCTGCAGTATTCAACAATATCAGGGAGGAACAATAATAGCAGGCCATAAATCAGCCCTGGAACAGTGAATAGACATTGATATGGGAAGACGAGAATAGTGGCTGTTGAAGGAGCAGAACACCCACAGAGAAACACAAAATCAGAGGCCACACAAGATGTATACAAGCGTGCATGTTCAGGCTTGATTTGTCAATCAGTTAAATGTTAGGGTAAGGGTTAGAGAAATGACTTACAATTAATGCAATGTTATATAATGCAATGATACCCCTTGCTATAAGAAGCAAGAGGTAAAGGTGTAATGTCACACAGCTTACTACATTTTCTTGATTTTAAAGGGTTTAACACATTTATCAAAGCACTTTGAACCAACTGACAGTCGCCTGACATTGTTAATAAGAAAATTGATGTCACTTTTACTATACCCAAATAATAATGTAGCATTCAAAAGTCGTGGCAAGATTTATTGTTGGATGGATACGCGAGAATAGAGCTTACACTAGTCACTAACTATGCAAGGCAGATGCTAAATCAGGGCCGGCCCGTAGCACTGGCGTTATAGATGTTCGCCTAGGGCGCCAGATCTGGGGAGGCGCTGCGCTGGCAGCTCTGGGAGGGAAAAAAACATTTTTGACCGTTTGATTGATTGAAAAGTTTATTAACAGCTTGTATATTGGGTACAGTACAGTACAGCTCAAAACATACAATTGTTAAGGGGATGCAGACCAGAGAAAGACTTTCGTCTTGTTTACATCAGGGTCCAACATTTCCAATTCATCATGTCATTTAAGACATATAAGACATATTTGACATACAGATGGCTTATTTACAATTTACATACAGGTGGTTTTTTACATACAGATTGCTTGTTTACAATTTTCATTTTAGATTTCGTTCTAATACATCCTAACCGGACATTTAAGACATACCAAGTCTACAGATATACAGTTAGTAACAGAGTCTAAAATGCGAGTATATACATAGATGGGGGGGGGGGAAGCTGTCCATTGAACGACAGGTTGAGATTTGTACCATTACCGGGGCCAGTTTTGCAATGCTCTCCCCCGAAGGTGCTCTTTAAGAGAGGTTTTGAAGGTAAGTATAGTTTTACTTTCTTTTACAGTTGTGGGAAGAGCGTTCCACCTTGATGTGGCATAATTGCGAAACGTGTATTCCCCCTTTTTTGTGCCAAATCTGGGTTTCACATGATTTGTGGAGCTCCCTCTGGTGTTATGATCATGGTATTCCTTGACCTTTGGGAAGAATTTTGACATGTACATGGGTACCATAGAGGTTGTAGTGGATCTTGTAGACCAGGCCCATTGCAAGTAGCTGTACTCTGTCGTCTACTCTAAGCCATCCTAGGTTGTCAAAGTGGGCAGAGGTGAGGTGGGTTCTAGATGAAAGGTCAAGCAGTAGTCTGACCAGTTTATTTTGCGATGTTTGAAGTTTTATTTTTAGCGCCTTGGAGGTGCTATGGTACCATGACGTGCAAGCATAGTCATAGTACCCTTGAATGAGTGCTCCTGCCAGAGTTTTCAGGGTGTTTTTGTTTACCAGAGAGGAGATCCGGTATCGGAATCTAGTTCTTTGAATTACTTTTTTTATTACATTGGATGCCATTTTGTCACAGGAGAGGTTTGCCTCAAGAATAGATCCTAGGTATGTAATTTCCTTCTTACTTGTGACAATAATGTCACCCACTGCAACTGAGAAGTCGTCGGATTTGCTGAGATTATGTTTCGAACCGAAGAGAATGGACTCTGTTTTACCCAGGTGTAATGATAATTTATTATTGGCGAGCCAGGTGCAGATTCTGCCGAGCTCGGAGCTGAGGGTTTTTTCAACCTGCAATCTGCTCCTGTCAGAGACCAGCAGGGCTGAGTCGTCCGCGAACAGGAACAAGTTGCAGTCACATGCTGATGACATGTCATTTACATAAATTAGGAACAGTAACGGACCTAATATGCTTCCTTGTGGAACACCACAGCTCACTGGGAGGGGGGGGGACAGAGTACCGTTTACCTCCACCATCTGTTCTCTCCCCTCCAGGTAGGATTGCATCCAGCTCACCGATAGTTTATCAAAACCAATTGCTTTTAGCTTGTCAATCAGAATGGGGTGATTGACAGTGTCGAAAGCCTTTTGTAGGTCCAGCACCACCATGCCGCAGTACTTGCCCTCGTCCACCTCTTGTTTGATGTGGTCGCTCAAATAAAGAAGGCATGTGTCAGTGGAGTGGGATGTTCTAAAGCCAGATTGAAATTCATAGATTAGTTTCTTTTCCGCGAGGGTACTTTTCGACCTGTTCATATACTATTTTTTCCATGACTTTCGAGATGGAGGTAAGTATAGAAACAGGGCGGTAGTTGCCTGGGTCCAATTTGCTGCCCTTTTTGTGCAGGGGGTTACTCTTGCCATTTTGAGGTTAATTATGTGAGCTATGACTGGTGAGATGGCGGTTGCTGTGTCTCTGAGGAATTTGGAGGGGATATTATCGTGGCCAGTGGCCTTGTTAGGTTGGAGGGCGCTCAGTTTAATGAGTACCTCTGCTGTTGTTACCCTTGCTAGACTGAAATCCTCTTTGCGTACCCCTAGGTTTTTGTAGTAGGTCATGATGTGATCTACTCCAAAAAGCCCTGAGTGGGAGGGTAATTTATTTACAAGAGTTGTGGCTATGTTTGTGAAAAAAATGTTCAAGTACTTGGCCACATCCAGTTTGTCTGTGATGAGCCTGTTATCTGTCTTTATGTTTAAGTTCGAAAAGCTGGTTATTGAGTAATTTCCAAAGTTCACAGGGTTTATTTTTGTTTTCCTCAGTTTTGACATTGATGTATTGGTGCTCATCCTAATTTTCGGCCTTGATGTAACAATATTCATAATTAAGTAAATGTAACACCCTTTTCACCCCGGTTACACTTTTCATTAGCCCTGTACGATGGGCGCTGTAAGTGATGAAAATGGGGGATGTTGGCTTATCTGGCGCCCGCAGCTCACAGCCAAAGTGCGAGTGAGCGTGGGAGCGAGGGAGGGTGCACCGGTTCCGGCGCTGTTGTTATTAGCATCTGGTGCTAGCTGCTCTAACGGATATAAGAAGAAGATGTTTCTACAATAATGTGGAGGGAGAGTCCTCTCCAGTCAGACTGAGAGGCTGATAACTACAGCTCAGTGAGGTAAAGGACTCTGAGTGTTTAGATAGTTCACTTTAGTCTAAGTTATCTCAGTGGGTCTCAAACGTTTTGGTCACAATTTATGTAAACACATATTTCCAAGGCACTCCTTTATAATTATTGGGATAAATAAAAACAGGTTTGAAATCATTTCAATGTATACTATAGGACAGTAAACCAAAAATATTGTTTAAAACTGGAGAGATAAAAAAATGCGCATAAATAATAAATAGGTAAAATAAGATATGAATGAACAACAAAAATAAAATAACTTACATTTATTTGTTATTGGCTATGGTAGGTTATTGGTTATGTTCACATACTTATTTGATTATTAAAATGTAAACCGATCTTTTTCA